GCAATCGCTGACATATCTTATTCATTTGCATATGCTTTTGGTCCCATAGTAGCCGGGCAGATTGTTCAAAGTATAGGTTTCACGTCCCTGAACATCGGTATTTGTCTTAGTAACGTGCTTTATGCACCGCTTTTGATAATTCTGAAAGTAATATACAAATACAAACCTTTTGAGAATGAAGCCGGTGTTTTAATAGACGGTGCTCCCAATATGGACTACAAGACATATATGGTGAACAATACAGACGGGACGAGGCTAGTGGATAACGAAAAGAAAAATCATCTGGAGTATACCCAAGGTACTAGGTCATATGAGAGCATCAACGGCACCTCCAACCCATTCAACACGGGAAAACCAAGCAACATAAACCCGTTTATAGATTCGGAAAAGTTGGACACAAATGAACCATGGATGCCCACTAAAATGGCCAAGAATGACCCTTGGGCAGCACCCCCTCTTTATCAAGAAATGAAGGCAGAACCTAAACAAGTAGAAGCGGTTAATCCGTTTTATAACCCTGAAAAGATTTTGTTCGGTGATAGCACGGAAGCCAATGGTGATTCTAGTTCGCATGTGCGTGCGCGTGGAACGTCGCGCGTTGAGCATGACTCTTCAGACTCTGATTGGTGATGCGGTGACAAACAGCATTTCAAAATAATTAAGATGCAGTAGCTGCTTTTAATTTAAACACTCATCAGCAAGTGAAATTAAGTCAATCACAAGTTATTTTCATCACTGTAATTATAACTGGCACTTGTTAGGAAGGCATTATTGTAATTAAACTGCCAGACCTTCTAGTATATAGGGTGCATTCAAATAAAGCAAATCACATTATTTCCCATGTTCTGTTTTAGTTTGTTTTTTGTGTGTTCATTATCAAGAACCAGTGACCGCTTTTCAAGTGATGCTTCTCGTGCGTAGATTTGACATTCGGTTTTCTTTTAGCCTTTTGACTTTTGATTTCCTTTTGAATATAAATGCTACCGTTTCAAGTATCTCCCAAAAATGAATTATATTGTGCAACTATCAAAAACGTTCAGTCTACCCAACGTAAACATGATCCTTAAATCTTTCGTCGTCAATTGATATTTTTTCTCTTTCGCCCACTTTTGCAGACTTATACATAATAGCCTCTTCAAATATATGGTTCCATCTCAATTCATTAAGAAAACTGAATTAGGGATAGAATGTTGTTAGGATGAGTGATGTGAAATTAAGTTAAGGATGAAGTATATTATTTCCAGCAAATCAAATAACATTTAATTAAGTGAAATAATGCCTGGCTGAAGTATTGATATTTCAACTGGAAGTCAGCCTGCAAAATCTCAAGTTTATGAGAGGAAGAATGAGAGATGAACTGTAGACGCTTTAGTGACGGGACCTCAAAGTACACAGTTGAAGTTATTTTCGCTGAGAAGTCACACTGAAGATAACGATTTCTGTAAATATGGAGCTAAGTTAAACAAAATTCATTTAATGTTGTTTTATTGCCCGTATTGCTCCGTGGAACTGAAGTCAAATTTATCAGACTAAAAAGTGGGGCGTCTTTTTCGCCTTATTTGACGCAGGTTGAATATATATCAGATTACATTTCGTTGAGCGAGAGAGTGAGAGAGAGAGAGAGAGAGAGAGAGAGATGAGGTTGTTCATATCATACCATATACCACATACGGTGCAGTGTGCTTCAACAGAGATCTCATATATCTCTCTCTAGAAATTAAAGAAAATTTAACATATAAATTTATTTTCGAAACCAGGTTCAGAAGTGCAATAAGCATTACTCCCTAAATGCCGACTGGTTTGTTTGTAAAACATTGATTAAGCATTCCTTGGCAATTGAAATCGATATAGTTTTAAATTGTGTGTCAAGCGTGAACCGCCGGGCCCCCGGGGATTCCTCTAGTAATCAACAAAAACGTCGTGCTGGGATCCAAAAGTAGAAAGCATTAATACAGATCGGACATGCTCTGCTAGCACGGAACACGTCGATGTAAGAAGATCCTGCATTATAAGTGTACGAAAGTAATGTATAGACCGCGGTTAATATCTATAGTTTTACCTTTCGGTAGGTGTATTTTTAAGAAATAAAAAGAAATGAAACCTATTTCAAATGATTTTTCTGTTTTTCTTGTCTTCATTTAGACGACTATATCCCAATGGCGTCAGGATGTATACATATCTGATAGAGAGTTGAACTAATAACGTGTCTGTCTGATGGAGAAAACACAAAAAGGGTTCAAAGCATGGTTTGCCTTTAGCACTGATATGCACCGATAATGTTTTGCGCTAACAAATAAAAAAGATACAACAGGGTAATCAAAGACTGGCAAATGCCAATTTCTTTGGGGTCAACATTAAAAATATGTATATATTTGATATATAACGCGGCCTTTTTGTTCCCCCACTGGATTAAAATGCTCACTTTTTATTTCATAAAATGTTTCGAATGTGTTCTTCTGACCCATGGATGTTAGGCAAGGAAGTAGCACGCACAGGGTGGTGACAGGGGATTCCATCCGTTTTGGAATCTCTTCATTAGTTGGTAATAAGAGGAAGTGCTGCATGAGTGAATTACTTGAGAGGCAGAGCAGAACACGAAAATTGATTTCGGAGGTTGATTGCCAGAAACTTTAAGTCCCGTACCAAGGAGAGGATGTCGTATTTCTCTCTATTTAGACGACTTTTTAGTATTAAACAAAGTGCGAGCAGAGGCGGTCGTTTATCAGGATGATGTGATGTAAAACAGAAACTAACTACAATAAAGAAACCCGTCAATCCCTTATGCCTTGTGACCTGTTCGTTAAGATCAAATTTAACATAAATCATAGTTAACAATATTGCCCTTGAACCGATACGTTTATTCAAATATAACTGACTTTCAATCACTTGCATCACTGGCATTTTCCCTGCTGTATTTCGGGCCCCTTGGCTCACAAGCACCTTCGTGGACGTTGGAATCAAATAATACGACAAAAACGAGAGGAAAACTGGGTATTTCAAGAGGATTGAACTATTTGCCAGACCTGATATAATTCAATTATCAACCAAAGGTTTAATTTGCAGGCTAGGTATTTACTAAAGTAAAAAAGTAAGAAGGATAACCTGATCAATACACTGTGTAATTCTTTATTTGTGGATTTTAACTTTAGTGTTCATGGAAATAGCAGGACTATTTTTTTTTTTTTTTTTTTTTTTGCACTCTGATAAAAACTAATTTCGGAAGGATTTGCAAAGTTTTATATCAATATTCCTAGAGGGGCAATAATACGAAGGGGGAAATGTTCACGCCTGGAGTTGAAATCGACAAATATACCTAAAATATACTGAAATTGATCTTGGAAGGTGTTTTGTTGACACGGATTGATTAAAGACTAAGCTCCAGCCCAATCCTCAACGGCGACATTATTGGCATTACATCGTTTCCTCTACGGAACACATTAATAAGTTGTCGACTTAATGTTCAAGACTTAATGAAAGGGATGTTGATTCCAGTGAAGTGCATTTATGAACTAAAGTCAAATCTATTAAGCCGCTGAGATATTAAGCTTGTTGTTCTTCTCGATGTTAATGCCTGTGGAAGTGAGAAGAGAATGTAAACATGTCTTCCCCTTATTGAAATGCTTTAGGAGTAAGAAAAAACCATATTTAAATTTGATCACACAATATGAAAATAGCCTGTTTTGTATAGTATTATTTTATAAATCATAATGGTACATACGTGTATAAGAATTTATCCTAAATGTCTCGATCTAGTAATGAGGTTTAATTGAAGTTCTGGGAAAGTTTATTGATGGTAATCGTGTTAGATTTCTCCAGCTCTTAGAACAATATCAATTTGGAATTTAAGAAATACTGAGATCGTTGACATTTTAGCATCACACACAATAGTAAAATTACAAAAATAGCAATACGTGGTTTCCTTTTTATGTCCTTTTTTCATCCACTACTGATTCACAGGATGCTTGGAGGTGACCAACGTGAGAAATGCCATTTAACAGTATTAAATCATTTATGTGCCTGAGTTATAAAGAACAATACAGCATTTAGAATGTATCTTCTCTGAACTTCACCCCTCCAGGAAAACATGGCCTTCATTGTGTATCACAATGCTCGCTTTAATATTAATGGAAATATCCATCGCTTTTTGTTGACAAAATAAAAGACACGCGATAAGATACAATTATTTAAACCAGTTCAATCGAATTTGTTGAATGCACTTACGGCAGGATATCGGAAGATAAAGCAGACAATTATCAAATAGGGGAAATAGTTTGTTAATTATTCAGAAAAGAACAGCTGCACCTGATACAGTTTGTGTGCACACATAACATAGTTGCCGAGTGGAACAGATTAATTACTGTTCACAGAATGGTTTAACACCTTTACATCAAAGTTATTCTAGATCAAAATGAAAATACATGAAAGCGAAACTTGTGATATACAACAGTAAAACACATTGTTATGGGGAGTTTGGAGCATCCACCCCTGGTACTGTCTGCAAGTGAAATCATGGACAAATATTGACCGCCCTTTGGAACATTTACGACACTATTGATCTGCTGCGAAACTATCAGATGGTAAACAAAACCCAATCGACAAACTTGCTGCGACTTTTCTTCATGCGTTCTTTCCTCACTACCAATTCTATTATGAACCAGTCATGCCAGCATCGAAAGTCGATAGAATCAAATTATTTCAAAATCCATTTCTCCGGCAATGTTGTCATTGCATAGCTGCGTTCAAAAAGTGTAGAGCCAATAGGAGCGTGATGACTGGATGCCAAAGTCGTGAGGTTAAGAGACATAGTAAGATACTTACTTAATTAACTTGATCTGAAACTCACGCATTTTTAACTTGAGTTAAGCGACCACGTCTCATTTTCAGCCAAATTTTACAAATCAAACAACAACATGCATGAGGCAATCGTTATCAAGCGTGTGGCCATTCAAAGGAACTGCTAAAGAAAACCTTTACTAAAATCTAAATTTTTGCACCATCAGCCAAGAAGATAGAGGATCACAGAAGCCTTTCCTTTCGTGAGATCTGAGACGGTAATCCTTGGCCGATGCTGTCGACGATATTTGCCCGCTTCTGTAAGACCGACGACGGTTGAAGTCCTGCACTGCTTACTACCGGACGTGGCACCGCACACGCACCATGCCCCATCCCGTGAAGGATTATGTCACCAGGGTGGCCTCCTTTGACGAGGAAAATTTTCCAGAATGGGACCTAGCGGTAAGTTTGAAATGCCCTTACATTTATTCTGTTATTTAAAATTTTTATGATCTTTGCAAATAACTTGAGGTGGAAGGGGAGGGCCGTTTTTTTTTAAATCTTTGACCGACTTTTCAGCTGTTCATTTTTCCACAAAAAGGTGCATTGAAATTCAGAAAGTTGCCATGGGGAAGGAAAAATAGTTTGAACAATCGAACTTTGATGAAAAACGGTCGTTTATGAGGACAGCTGCTTTATCATACATTAAACGTTTCATACAAGTTGACCACACCCTTCTTACATACGCGTGAGACTCATCATTATATCTAATGATATCAAGCTGTTAAAATTGAAGATATACAGATCAGAGGAATATACACTGACGAGTTTCATGAAGCAATCTTTTAACCTGCTCACTTACCCCACCATATAAACTGGTGGAAGGGCACCAGTTTCCGTGTATTTTCAAGGTACAAATACATGTACAAACAGCAGCTTTGCATCAATAGCACTTACGTTTTAGATGTTTTCTGCGCACTATTTACCCCGTTCGATACGGCAAGCGGCTTGGTCTTTTTCAGTTCTATTCATGTCGCTAGAGTTGCTATTGTTTTTATTTGAAGTGCTGCAAAGAAGGTCTAAGTAGCCATGTTAGAGTTTATCAGTCGATTCAGTATTTCAGAGCATTGGAGGTAGTTCTATTCGTGTTTTCACAAATAAAATTCTGCGTTTTGTCTTAAATGGAGCTTTTGAAACCTTTTTCCTCTTTTAAAGATTACAAAAAATATATAATCAGCTTGTTTGCCAGAGGGTTTATCTGATGGTCAGCGTTTAGTCTAAATATTTATATTCTAGTTATCTGTAATTTCCCAAACTGAAACCGCAAAGACAAAAGGCCCGTTGGGTTTAATTTTCCAGATTGTCATTTTATAGAATGATAACTTTTTAATAACCTGCGGTGTATCTTTTTTTTCTGTGGGAAAACGGGCGTAATAAATTGCAACTTGCCGGTAGGTTTCTTTTCTATTCGAGCAGCTCCAACATTTTATTAATTTTTTGTAACTTGTGTCAATCATTTCATGTAGTTATGAGGGTAATTTTTAGAAAAGAAATAATCCAAGTTAGAGGTAATCCCTCTCCAATATTTATTCTGTCATTCAATACTGTGAATAATTATTGCAACTGGTATGAATAACTCAGAACAAATCAGTTAATGTTTATATACTTTACGCAATGTAGGAGTAGTTTTGATTGCCGAACGGCAGTCGCGCTGCGGCTTAGTTCCAATTATGGCTGTTTGCATGTGAAATAGGGGGTGTGCTCTCCTCAATAAAATTCACGGTAAAATAATACCAAGGGGACCAACACTGCTCTAATGAAAGTTAATCTTTATTCAAAATGATAGAAATGTATCCATAAACTCCTTTATCAAATTATACCCGATTTGATTAAACTTCATGCCAGGTTGCTTGAGCATTGTTTTCGTGAGAAAATAATATTTCAATTCTTAAAAATATGCACGTTATCTATTTTCCACTTTGTGATATTATAAAGCAAATTGTAGATGGTTTGCAAGAAAAAAGTAAAAAAAAGTGTTGTTAGACATCGTGAAGAGTCAATTCTGGCAAACAAAACACTCGGGCAGAAATCAAAGCTTGTCTCTCGCTAATTTAAGAAATGCAATCATAACAAATGAACTTATTTCGTGCAGTTTATTGATCGCCTCACTGATGGGACGAATGTAAATGTGCATCTGAGAGTCCCACACGTCCAATCAACATCCGATATAGATATAAACGGTGGATTTTTTTCTCGTCTGGTAGAATAGCTGGTAACTTTAAAATTCGTTGACCCAAGATGCGAGTTTGTTTTGCACTCTCAGCAAAAAGTCGTTCCTGATTTGTGTATCGAAAATGTACCTTCTTTAAAAGGGACAGACACTCAGACGGTCAAATAGGGTTCATTCAATAAAAACAATTGATTTTCCATTATGATCAAAAACATTTATATACTCATGATTTATTTACATTCGTTTTGGTTTATAGCTGAATTTTCAGGTCGAATAAATGTTCAACATTTTTCCAATGCACATTCATGAGACTACAAAATAAATGTGACTGGAAATAAGCAATCAATTCATTATGCATTCCCTTTTACTACGATTATATTTTATTAAATTTGAGGCGAATACTTTGAACGCTTTTTAATTTAATCTTATCAATCCATTTTTTATATCTTCCTTTTACCTGACGGTGTGTTAATACAGTGGTTAACTATAGAAAAATCAACGACGCGAAGATTTGACTTTTTTCTTATTTGATTTCCTCAACACGAAATGCAAATCTGATGCTTGGAATAAGTTTCGCCGTACCGCAGTGTCCGATATCACGGCTCAATACTTAAAAATATGTAAACTAAATATTTAATTCACTAAATATGTAAACTAAATATTTAATTCATCGTAATTATATTATTATAATATTATACTTTTATAATAGTCAATTATCTTTCTTGTCGCGTTATTTTGTGTTCTAATGTTTTATGTATATTGCACCAATGAAATTACCTTTTCATTTATGTCCACAGCATTTCTATGTTTGATGGCGTGAGTTTTTCCCCTATATACCCTTACACTTGATCTGTATTTAAACAATATTCATCAGTTCTGAAAGTTTAAAGATAAATTAACAGGTAAACCAGTTTTCCGTTTACTGTGTTATCAAAGACTGCCTATAGTATGATATATGCTGAAAAAAAGCATAACTTTTTTTTCATTGCCCATGATTCCCTTGCATGTTCTAGAGAGAATAAACCACGAAGTACCTTTTGGTATCACGCCTCATATCTATTTTTACTTTTAATTCAAGACCCCGCTTCCAAAGCTGCCTGTCCCGGATCTCCGTCGCACTATGGATAGATACTGTAAGGTCCTAAAGCCCATTATACCCGAGGACCAGTACAAGAGGGTAGAGGAGCTAGTAACGGACTTCTGCAAGGACGGGGGTGAGGGCGAGTATCTGCAGACGAAATTGAAGGAACTTTCAAAGGAACAAAATAACTGGGTACGTGATATTTTGTTCACTTTAGTGATTTTGAGGCACCGCGTCATACTGTAGATAATTTACAAATGGCCAAAAAAAAAGGCCTTCCGTACATCGATTCTTTCAGAACAGTGAACTGAACGAAATTTCAAACATTCAAATTAATCACCGTTATTGATTTTGGTCTTTGAGCAAAACTGCCTAAAATAAACTTCAAAGCGGTAACATTGCTTGATAATACATTTAGTTAAATGATTTGGATTTAAGAAATTTGAAATTGTCATTTATCCGGATAACTGTTGCATGTCTTTTGATAAAGTTGCATTTCGCGTCATGAAAAGGTAACTTATGGAGAATTTATAACTAGCAGAGAAACTATCTGTTACTTTGCCTCTTTGTTTTCTTTCTCTTTTCTCATTTGAGATAAATAAAAGCAAACATAAATATCCTCGACTTTTCGGCCCTTTATTCGAAATGACATTTTAAAAAAGGCCGAGGGAGTTTGTTTGATTCCGGTTACACATTAAGTACATGAAACAAGCATGAAGCAATTTGATCAATCGCCCAAGGGGCTCCGACACTATTACCAGCGTCCCTGGAGATTCTTAAATCTTGTGTTATGAACTGGATAAAAACATGATATATTTTCCAAGGAATAAAAAACGAAAAACAATTACAGACCAGTTGCAGTGAGGGAGATTACAATAATATAATCATGTTAAACTAAGCAGTCGCTCCACATGTATCCTGCAATTTTGCACTAAAAGGATTAAACTGCGCAGTATTTTGTTCCACGAAATTCTTACGTTCTGTTCACTGAAAAAAAAAACAATATACAATATCTCCCTTTAATTTCATCGGTAGTATTTGTTATATATTTTCCTTTAATTTCATTTGTAGTGGGATTTAATCCACTTTTTATATGATTGAAGATGATTTACACAAAGAAAAATAGAAAAACTGGTACGTATATTTCCTTCATTTTATTCCTTTTTATACTCTCCGTAGGCTTATAACTGGTGGTTGGACGATATGTATATGAAAGCCAGGCTCCCTCTACCGGTCAACTCCAACCCAGGAATGGTGTTCCCTCGGGTACATTTCCAAGATCAGAAAGAACACTTTAGGTAAAGTAGAAAATATGTCGCTGTTGTGTAATGATCGTATTTTGCGGGAGTTGGAGTAAGTACGTTAGAATCTTAATTAAAACCACTGTTTTCAAGTGCAAGTTAGCAATGAAATATGATTATGTGTCTTTTATAGTTTTTATTTTTGGAAAGAAGATAACTCGGTAACACTGACGGCGTAAATGGAAGTTCGTGACTTAGCGAAATGATGTCTTTTTTCTCAATCAGTTGGGAAGGGAATAATTCAAATCAGTTTTTTTTTTGTTTTCACGACCAATACTGTCTTACACTTGTGCACGTAAAAATACCGCGGTATTATTTTTTTATATACTGATTCCTGATTGATCATTTTCAGGTTTGCGGCACGACTGATATCCGGAATTTTAGACTATAAAACTATTATTGACGCGTACGTATCACACCATTACTGATATTAATTTATAGGCTAACATAACATAGTATATAATCCTAAATGAGTAAAAAGTTACCAAATTTACACAGTGACATATATGGTAATCTCTTAGACCATAACTTTTGTTTTTTATCTAATCAAATTCAGATGAAATTACGTAAAATTACAAGCGTATCCATCTTAAATGATAGGCGTATTGTTTCAAATAAAGATAACTGCGTACGGTCGAAAAACAAAAACGCTTGTGGAGTTCACTTTTTGCTCATCACTATGGCGTATACTTTGCCGTTTTAGGCGAGGGTTGCCAGTGGACAGGGCTAACCACTTAGAGAAAGGGCAGCCTTTGTGTATGGAGCAATACTATAGACTGTTCTCCAGCTACAGGATACCTGGCGTTAATAAAGACACGCTCGTGACTCCTAGTGGAAAACTGCTGCCGGAACCAGAACATATTATTGTTATATGCAGAAACCAGGTAAATGGTATTTGAGCGTTTAGTCAAAATAACTTACTTTGTGACATTAATATCGACTAAAATGTACCTTGTGTGTTTTCAATGGGAATTCAATGTGCACATACTACTACTATTGTCACGTACTTATATTAAAATATCCCAATACAATAGTTTACGTGTGCTTTTGTGAGTAATGTTGTACCCGAAGTTTGCAAAGTATTACATTTAAAAAAAAACTTTCTTTTTCTTCCAGTATTTTGTGTTAGATGTGATAGTGAACTTTATGCGGCTGAGCGAGGACAATCTCCACTCTCAGTTGGAGCGGATAATGAAAGAAGCGATAGCTGGGGAGGGCGAGGCCAACAACGAGATGGTGGGGCTGCTCACCAGTGCTGATAGGGACAGCTGGGCCAGGGCGAGGATGAGACTCATGCAAGGCAAATACTCGTTTTTTTTCCTTGTCATGTTCTTTTGACTCTCGTTTGAATTCATATCTATCCCGTAGTCTGGTGGACCATTGTGGGCACCACAGATGACCTGACAACCAGCCCCTTCCATTCCACTCACATCTCTTGCCTACCTCATGACTGCACCCAATTCCATGTCTGTTTACTCCCAGATTGTGCCCTCCTGGACTACTGAAAAAGTCACGTAAAACATTAATTAAAAATGATCCAATACATGCTTATTGATTCTCCTGGAAACTCTTCTTTTTCAGATTCCACCAATCGAGATTCCTTAGACATGATAGAGCGCTGTATATTCATTCTCAGTTTAGACAAGGGAATCCCGTTGTCCTTCAACCATCAGAACAGTATTGACGAAACGTCTATGAATCTTCGTGACGACGTGTCCCTGGCGTGCCAGATGCTACACGGTATGGGGAGCAAACTGAACAGTGCCAATAGATGGTTTGACAAGACCATGCAGGTATGACACGAGTAAATAACAGGGTGACGGACTTGTAATAGGCATTTCATTTATCACTTTCAATTTGTGGTTTTAGAAAAGTCATTTTAGTACGGTGTTTTAGATTTTCAAGTACCATATATAAATGGTACGGATTTAAAGAATCTGTTGATTTTTCAATGCAATTACAGAAAATCAGTGAAGGTCAAAGCAACGAATAGATAGAAGATTATTCATTGATTCTCTGCAGATTATAGTCTATTGCTTTTTCAGTTTATCGTATGCGAAGATGGCGCTTGCGGATTGAACTACGAGCATTCACCGTCAGAGGGCATTGCTGTCATCAAACTAATAGAACATTTACTGACGTATATGTGAGTAACGTTTCAAAATTTGCAAAATGTGCTCTGTATCCAGTTTTTCCATAACTTATCCATAAGATTTAAAACTGAGTAGATAAGATTCGCGAACGTCATGGAATCGATAAATACTGGGTCATATCAAAATTCTGTTTGTAAAATCTACAATGTTAAACAGCAGTTATATATAATTATGCTCTAGGGAAGAAGTTCGAGTGAAGAAGCTGGTAAGAATGCATTCTCTGTGCGAGTTACCGTATCCCAGAAAGCTGCACTGGAAACTCACCCCAGAGACCGCGCAGGACATTGCCGCGGCCGATGTTCACCTTAACAAGTTCGTATTGTCAAACTGTAAAAACTAAAATTTTGAATACTTGCAGTTATCGCATTGGTACTGTAAAAACTTAAGTGGTCAAAACATAAATATTCTATGTCATAAATAACAAACCTTTTTAATTTTCATTGTAAAATACAGGTTAAACCCCAAACACAGTTAATGGATAAAAAGACAAAACAATAGATTTTAAAAAATAATAGTTAAAGCTAATGCATGTAGTCAAATAAAGATATGATGTTAGTATAATTGCGAGAAATTAATTTTTTCAAATATTACATTTCTCACTCTCTCTCTTTTTTTTTTTTTTTTTTTTTTTTTTTTGCAGAATCATATCAAATCTCGATTTATTTGTGCTACGATATGAAAAGTTTGGTCGAGATTTCCCCAAAAGTCAAAAGATGAGCCCAGATTCATTCATTCAACTAGCCCTCCAGTTAACACAGTACAAGTAAGATTTAATTTTTTTTTCTTTTTTAAGTGTTACTTAATTTGTCCTTAATACAAAGACTTTGATTAGAATCGTTCGTGCATAAGATATAATTACAAACAAATTACAAAATACAATTGCATAAATGGGTATCCAGTGAAAACTTTATTTTCTTTTCTGTCTATCAATTCATTAATTTATTTACTTTGAACATTAATTCAGATCATTTATTTATTCGTGCATCATTTCATTATTCTCCATTTTACAGAGTCCACGGTCGGCTAGTGTCTACGTACGAGAGTGCTTCCACGCGCCGCTTCCGTGAAGGAAGGGTGGATAACATCAGGGCCAATTCTGTCCAGGCGCTGGCCTGGGTAAAGACTATGACGGGGAAGGTAACAGCCACGGTATGTAGAACACCGTGAACGTGGTTTTCTCTTTAACGGGAGAGGAGGGAGGAGAAGGGAGAAAAGTAAGGGGTTGCCTTCGTTTCAGTCCCAGGGCCTGGGTTATGGCTACGATAGGGAGGCTCCACCTTTGGTTAGTTGCTAAGCGCAGTGACTATCTAGGCCCTTTTTAACTTACATGTATATTAAAGGGATAACAACTGTTCATTTTGGTCAAAAAATGAATTTTCCTGGTGTAAACAACAATTTTCCCATGCTCACCAATAGTTAATGAATCCATTTCTACATTCAAAGTTAGTCCATGTTTTTTTCTAAAAAGATTGTTTTTTCTAATACTCTCTTAAGAGATTATTATTACAGAGTATAACCATCTGTGGAGGTCACATGGTCCGATGGCAACACAGATTTCAAAATTATTGCTTTAACTTGCTGTTTTTGTGGTAAAATAGAATATATATATTATACTTCTATGAGTTGTTTACAATTTTTTTACTGTAAAATATAGATCTCGTACGAAGAGTTGTTATCCCTTTAAGTGTAAACTGATTATTTCATAAATCTTATAAAGTAAGAAAGGAAAGTAAATCAGGATACGGTCAACGTTGGATACCTTGGTACAGATATATATTTCCTATATAATACTCGTAAAAATCGGTATGCATAATATCTGTCTAAGGTCAACCCCTTTTGTTTTAATAGATCTATATTGTTGGATTTTAAACAAAAAGAATCATCTTATTTATAGGACGAAGAAAAAATGACACTATTCCGAGAGGCTTTAGAGTCGCAACAAGAATTTATGATACAGGTTCGTCTTTATATATACATTATGATGTTAAGACTTATTATTTCAATAAATGTTCATCCTTTTGTCAAATACAGATGAATGAAATGAAAATACATTTTAAGACCATGAACTGTGGTTTAAAAAATGGAACCGTGTGGCAGTGAACATAAGTAGGCCCTTTTTATTGTACACTATCTCAAATATAACAAATACACTATTGCAAAAGAAACAACTAGAATTGTCTTAAGACACATGGTGTTAGCATTAAGAATTTTATTATTTTTTCCCTTCAAGACAATCTTGGGTCACGGCATAGACTGCCATCTACTGGGCCTGAAGGAACTGGCGTTGGAGTTGGAGCGTCCACTCCACGAACTTTTTACCGATGAGACCTACACGATTGCCAATCAGTTCCCCCTCTCCACCAGCCAGGTAAGACAATCGAAAAGTTTGGCGAGAATTATTTGAAATGGAGACACTCCAGCCAAATAGATATCAGACAAACGAAGATTCACTTGTAGTAGTGTAAAAACAGTAATAAATCATTCCACCGGGTTAATTTCGTACCGTAATTCAATTCAAAGATCAGTAGGCTACTGGAGTACATATACTTTTATGCAAACTGCAGTTGAGCAATTAATGTTGACATGACATTTTATTTACCTACAATCTATGACCGCAAGAAATGTTCACGTTACTCAAAAATCCCGGTTCATTCCTGGAGCGCATACACAATAGTATAGAAACAGTTAATAAGATATGATCGACACCGTTGCCAGTCAAATTATTTCACCTGTAAAAACGCATTTTGCATAATGTAATGTCCACGACCTCAAAATTGTTCTGCACAAAATCAAATGCTTAATTTTTTGGTCAGTTATTTCTGATCTTCAGAACTGTGTTAACAAATGACCGGTGGCCAACCTTTGGACATAACCAGCCGTTAAACCACACATACCAATCTAAAATTACATCGTTATTCAGGTTCCCACAAGTATGGATGCCTTCATGTGCTACGGCCCTGTGGTCCCAGACGGCTATGGCTGCGCCTACAACCCGCACCCAGACTACATCCTTGTCGCCATCACGTCCCTCAAGGACAGCGAAAAGACGAGCTCCGATTTATTCGGTTATACGCTGGAAGGGTGTTTTAATGAAATGTACGAGCTCTGTATGAGACTTAACCCTACCCAGACAGTGCCAGTGGAAATAAAAAATGGCTCAAACGGTGTTGAGAAACCGATGTCCTCGCAGAAGTCGAGGCTTGTACGTCAGAAGGAAGCGTGTTCTGAGTCGCCTCCACAAAATGGGATATGAATATGATTAACTCAAGGAACAGACGTAATTGCGTAAAATATAAGGCTACAAGTATGACAGTAAAACGAGCTGTTGCAAAATGCCAAATGTTATGGTGTTAAAGTAGCAATATTAATGTGGTGTTTTGGATGTGGAAACCAGATAGGACACCTTATTAAACGTAGAAAATATTACTGAAGAGAATATGACTGTTTGTTTTATCGCACAGGGTACAGTAGTAGCGTAACGTAGAATTTTGACGCTTAGGTCTAGTGCTACATGTACTTGTATATACTGTGTTAGAAACAGATCACTCCAAAGTGCCAAGTTTAAATACACCTAGGTGAGACCTCTGCAATATTGTACAGAAGCCTTTAGGTGAAGAAATGTTTGGTGTGTTTTGAAAACATATTTATGATAATGATGATAAAAATTATGTATCCATGGAACGTATATAAATAACCTTGCATGCATATTAAATATGCATTTTGTGTTTATCTTTTGTGTAAACAAATGATACGTTACTGCATAATATTTTTGAGCACCGTGTTATGTTTCTTGAGAGAGAGAGAGAGAGAGAGAGAGAGAGAGACTAGTGATATACAAATTGTTCTGTATAGATATGAATATGGGAAATATTTTCCTTGTTATAAAATGATATACCGCTAGCGGTTGGTGTTACTGTGCATTCATCATGTGGTTGAATAATTATTAAACATTTATTGGCATGCAATAAAATAAATCACGGATATTTCAGAATGGAAGTGTTAAGTTGTATATAGAACTTTTTCCGGTCGCAACACGCATACGTCTACATATTGAGACTTTTCTTACATGATCTTACATGATTTACCTGTACATACCACTTGACTTGCATCTAATGCAAAAAATTAAGACGTTCAGTTTACTATTTTGCTGAATTACAGTATTTGATTCATCACAAAAACTCTTGCTTTATATCCAAGGAACGTGTCTAGGGTTTTATAAATGGGAATTCAGCTACCTTTTAGGATTTTTTACTTTAAAAATGTCCTCTCACATAAATTCGATATTTTTCATTTTTATATACACAAAAACCTAGCAATCATTATTTAATTCGGCTTTTGGTCGTATCTTTAAAATCTAAAGCGCCAGAAACTCACCAAACCACTAAGAACTTCAGTCTTCAAAATAGGCACAGAGGCAAAAACAGTTTTGTGCAATAGTGTAATTTACTTTAAAGAAAAGACCATCTCTAGACGTAAACTGGTAGATGTTGTTATCAAGAATCTTGATGTCTCAGTCCCAGATATACACTAACGTACTTTTCTTTCCTTCTCTTATTAGAATCTCTGTCTTTTTTTGTGTCCTGGAAATACAATTATATACACACTTTTTGTGCACACACACACACACACAGAGAGAGAGAGAGAGAGAGAGAGAGAGAGAGAGAGAGATAGGGCAGCAGTTTATGTACTTAAAAACTGCTTAAATGCATTGCGCCATGCACTGTAGGGCCTATAGTTTTAATTTTTCAATCACTGCTGTTAAGTGCCAAATAAGAGTTACTTACATCAGGGAATTATATCCGATATAATTCCCTGCTTACATAAAGGCCTCCACAGCATGAATTGAGTATAACGGAAATTCTTTATTTGGGGCTCTGTCTATCATTGAGTTAGTTGAGTGTTGTAGATTGTGAAGCTCAGTCACATCGCTGAGGTTGTGGGCAGTATTGTGTTAGTTAAGATGAATGTGTTACTGACTGCACCTACCAGTGCCTGGTGAGTAATTAACCTGTTCCCACCAAATTGCGATTAGGACATTCAAAATTGATAACTTGTTTAATGAGAAGAGACTCTATAAATACAGGATGAGTAGCAGAAATCTAATCATCATTATTTAAATACAGTGGCGGATTTAGAGGGGGGTGGGGGTCAGGGGGTCCTGACCCCCCCTTCGGTTTCTAAAAAATATCACACCAATATTCCCCTCTTAAAATGAGAATTTTGACTAGCTAAATCATAGTTCTAAACCGTACCAAAGGGTAATGTTTGCTCTCCAAAACACCAAATGATGGTCGGCTTCGCATCCGAGGCCTCTCGTCCCCCCCCCGTCAAATAATCCTGGATCCGCCCCTGAAATATGATGTTTAACGAGCATAGCAGCTAAGTTTTAAGGTGGATTTCTTTCCTTCATTACAGTGTTGGTAATTTTAAAATGTAGCCTATGTAGAAAAACAAGTTTTCCCAACTTAAGATACAGTGTACCTATATCCAATGCATTTTCTGTTAGGAAAAAAAAAAAGAATTCGGTAAATAAAATCCAATAACTCAAAATTAGGCTGGATCACGCTCGTTAACCGATTTATTAAATTTGTCCTACTTAAACGCTGGTCTCATGATGCAACTCGTCGAAAAAATAAACATGCATGGGCTCTTTAACCAAAGAGTCAAAATTGAGAGAGAGATGCAATGCATGTATGTTTTAGCGAGTAATGACTGATGCGCCTTTTTGCTAATAACCCTCCTTCTTCCCCCAGCTCCTGCCCCCTCTTCCTCTCACCACATGTGTGTTATACGTGTAACGTTACATAGTTATATCAGTGTTTATGTATAGGTATAGTTTGTGTATTAAGGTCTGTAGCAGGGTTTGTAGCCCATTTCATCTCACGTCAATGCATTAAGAACAGAACGTTGCATACTGATTCTTAGAAAAATAATACTTTTTACTTTTTTGGGTTGGTGTGAAATGCACAGCATAAAGTTAATAAAGTTGAGGCTCAGGTCATCAGATCAATATTCTAAACCCAAATAGGTACATGTAAGACCAGCACATGAATGTCGCTTGTGTCGCTTCTTGGAAGACTGTTGCGCCTCTGGCGGCATCCGCAAATTGTAAACTTCCGGTGCAACCTCCGCCATATTGCTAGAGCACTGAACGAGGGTGTGCCACGGGCACCAGTATAAATCTAAGAAAAATATAGCTGTCTTGTCATTGGTAAGTAAAATATTGCAAGAAATAACTTATTACACTATTATCTCCTCTTGCAGCGACTGTAAGTCATTAGAAATGCCTGTCGAGGGAGAACGTGTCTAATCTTGAAGCATGTGTGGTTCTTCCCATTCCAAACACAGTTGCTTGAACGGTAGATTCATTTCCGCACAGGTTGAGTCAGTGTGTGTGTGTGAATGTTTGTATGTTTTACAGTCTATATTTCTTCAGCTGTGAATATAAAAAGAACGTCCGTGCATTTTAAAAGCTTTCTGAAATCTGGCATTCGTTATAAATACTGTGGCTTGCCAAAAATCAATTTATTGTGAATCAACATTGACTGGAGTCTAGTGTGTGTGCGGAGCGTGATTTACCTAAGCAGTCCCAAAGGCTATGGTCAGCACTGCTTTAGGGCTTTTAGTGAAGGGTTTACATTAGGCTGCTGTAAACTGCATACTAAAATCAAACTGACAAATGCCATATATCATACCACTGTTATCAACTCCGAGTTGATATTTTTTGGCATATTTTTATTTTGATTGAGAAACGAAGGTCGGTTTTTGCTGATATAAGAGGGCATGGAGAATCGAGATAGTTAATCATTGGTTTACATTAGATAAGAATTGGGTTGTTCCTTAATTTAGAAATATGATGTATATTGTTCAAGTCACTGGATTTATGTTTACAGTTGGTGAAGTATGTGCAGAGGCAGGAATAAATGTGACTTGTTATTCTAATCTAAACAACAAAGCTCTTCATTTATTTATATAAAGTTTTTTTTCAAATAGAAATACAGTGCTTGAAATTTTACTCTGGAATAAAAAAAATGCTTCTCTTATTACTTAAAAAGTTATAAATCATTGTAGACAAATTTAGATAGAGTGGCCAATACCATATTTAATTATAATTTATCTTAAATTTATTTGTTGTTTGACATTAATAATAGTAACAACTTCTCACACAAGCTTTTCTTTGCAAATATCTTCTGGCAAGATCTTGGTATGTATGTATTTAAGCAAAATGTCTATATAACTGATCATGAGGACATGGTAACATGCTTATTGTAGAGATGGCGGTGGGGGTAAAAAATAAAGATAAAAATGAAAGAAAAATTGAATTTACTAGTCATCCTAAAAAAAAAAGAAATAAGGAAAGAAAATTAAGAGAAAAAGTGAATTAAAAGAAATAGTCTGATTTCATCATTTACCACAAGTCATGAGGTTATCTTCCGATGGAACATGACAAAGTGTACCAGATAAAAAGACAAAATGAAAGAAAAATTGAATTTACTAGTCATCCTTCAAAAAAAAAAAAAAAAAAAAATTTAAAAGAAATAGTGAATTAAAAAAAAGAATCTGATTTCAACATTTACCACAAGTCATGAAGTTTTCTTCCAATGGAACATGACAAAGTTTACCAGGAAGTGATAATGTTTTTTTTTTCAAAAGTATTTTGTCAACAAGTTTTGAGCCGTTTTGTGATTGTGATTGTTTTATAAGCATTTACTCATATCCTTATCTTATTCAGCCTGGCCTCTATATACCAGTACAGAATTCATATTAAGAATTTTAAAAATCATGGCAGACTGAATATAAATGCAATAAAATGAATCATGCAATACTTTTTAGGGTTGGGTATATTTGCTTAAATCAGAAGCCTTGCAAGTTTCTTTGCTAGAGAATGAATTAATGATTAATCTTGGTAAAAATCCTGAAAAAAAGCGAGTTTGACATAGAGGGGGTGGGACATCAAAAAGAATGTCTGTGTGAAACCAATGGGGAATAGCACAATGGGAATAACATTTTTGTCTTACAGTAATTCATATGATAGAGACTAGAGTTTCTGAGTCTCCTGACTGGCTGCCCAAATGCTTCTAGTTTAAATTGCTGCAGACTTGTGATCAAAATGATGACAATATATCTGTTGGTGTTATTATTACTCTTCAAGGACTACAGTGTTATGAAAAATGACCACCAATTAAAAAAATTCTAATGTGAAACCTGGGTGAACGTATGTTAAAATGATAGCTGATTAATTTTCTGGTTAGGACATGCTGTCATGTATCACTTTTGTGGTAGATTTTTGTAGATATAATCTTTCAGCAAATCTCTTTAAATTTCCCCATGGCAGTTTGATAGCTTTGATTTAGCTACATATCAGAAAAAGATCTGTGCTACAACAAGAAAACTCTCATACCTTCAAGACAAGCCAGCAGTTTCAGGAAGTGGCAAAAAAAGTTCCAGACTAGACTCCATATAATTGAATGTCTGGATCAAACATTTTAACAGACTGGTCTTTACCACCTCAGCATGGCACAGAGTACTGTATACATAAACAGAGTCCAGCATGCTCTCTCTCCCAGGCACTTGGGTTCAGCTCTTGAAAGCAAAATCTATTGTTATGACCTCAATGTAGATATTGGTGATGTTAATTGCATTTTACCTACTTGCGCAGTAGCAACATTCTTTCTTATGTCATCTCCATTATTTCCAAGCAATTTATGGCCAAACTGTATGCTAGCATTAAAGAGTAAAGCCATAGGCATCAGCAGAATAATTTTGTGTTAAAGAAAATCAGTCTATATTATATTGCCTCAAGTCACTGAACAGACTTGTTTCAATCCTTAGCAATATCTTAAGAAAGTGTGAATCAGACATTGGTATCAATAATAAAGCATTTAAGACTCTGTGATAACCAGTGATCTCCCATCTAGTAAAATTTTCTCGGTGTTTTGTTGCTTCTGTGTACCAAATGTGCGTTTAAATGGTTATTTCATCATCATTGTCTTCAGTAATGTTGAATTAAAACTTCCTTCTTTGTGTCTTTTAAAAGGAATGTTGTATACTTTGCAGAAGATTGGTCCATATGTGATTACATACATTAGGCCTATGTACTTCCTTGGAGCATGTTGGTTTAAAATTGATAGTTTGGTTTGAATGAGGATATAGAACAGTTCATTTATCAGAATCTTCCTAGTAACTGACTGTGTAGTTGTATTTATTTACAAAAATGGCCATTTTGATGAGGAAAGAACAAGCCTCTCTTTCACCAACATTTCTTGGATTTTATTTTAGCTCAGTGTATGTGGTGGCTTCATTAATTTCAGAATTGCACAAAAGAGATATAACTATGATATAAGCTGTATCATATGATTAAACTTATGGTCACTTACATGTGTATATACATTACATTTATCTACTGAATGTTAAGATTATAACTTTTGAGAATAATATTGTACAAGATAATCCAGTTTGATTTTACTTCTACAATATTTCTTTGCAGTGGCAGCTGTGGTTTATATGTTAGATTTGGATAGCCATATATATATATATTATGCTAATGTGACATAACATTAACAAAAGTATCACATATTACTTAGTTGTTCATCAGCACATAAGGCCATTATTTATTGTTTTAACAATGGGAGATTAGATTAAGATTTCATGCCGATCTGGCAAAGAATTGTTCATCACTTGTAGTGAACTACTGTATTGATCTTTATCTTGAAGCTATACAGTATGTGAATGCATAGCAGAGGTACACATGGTAAGAAGGCACACATACACACACGAGGGAGACTGGAGATCAGAGCTTCAGAAATGGTTTATTTATTATCTTAGCTCATGCTTTATGTACATGAAGGGATTCTGATTCAGACCTGAGGTGAAACAAATTCCTGGATATCAGAATATTCCTTGCAGGAGGTGTGGTGGGGGAGATACTGGAATCTGCCTATGAACACATGACTCAAACCCACAAATGCACCTGTGAATGTGCCCCAAAATTCTTGGTTAACTAGCTGACAGATAATGGTGATGATTTCATACACATATATGCAGGTACGCACAAATGCACGCATGCTTGACGCATAAACACATAACACACAAACACACACACACACACACAATAGTTTGGTTAGTAATGGGTTTTCTGGGTGATGGCTAGCTTGATTATTAGTTTGAGGAATCTGTGCTCACCTGAATGAAAAAAAATGAGAATTTCAGCTGGAATGTTGTAATTTATTATCACTGCTGTAGATGGAAAGTAATGGCCAGGAAAGTTTTTTTTATTGTCATTTAGATGCATGTGTATATCCCACTCCCCGTCCAACACACTACCAGTCATATTCACTGGAAATGGTTTCAAGCTGCATCTAGGACCTCAAACTGCAGCTTTTTTTAGACTGCAGGAAGAAGACAATTTGATTACACAATTAAATGTCTGGGTCACATGCATTCTACCAAATACTTTATCATTGGGCAACACTTATCAAAGGGGAAAATGGATGCATGTCCTGGTAATCAGTATAGCTGAGCATGTAGAGATTGGGGTCTAAGTTGAATGAATGTCATCAAATAAAAAGAGGAAATTGAAATTAATCTCTCTGTCTTTCACTGATAAAGGCAATCATCATCATCATCCAATTTATTAAAAAAATTTCCTCTCCCTCCCCCTTTTGGTAATATATTACTTGGATATAAATTGGATATAAAATTGAAAATTTGCTGGGGGTAGGAAAAGATGGACTGACAAATTAATCAGAATTTGTAACATTCAGGCATATACTTTTATAAAAGTCAGATATTATATATATATTTTCTTGCCAAACTGATAATGATAAGGTACTTTTCTGAAACCAAATCTATTTTTAAAATAATATTTTTGTAGGTAAGCATAAGTTATGCTGGGAAAAGTGTTGAATACTTGAAATAGGACAGTATTAGTGTGTTGTTTTCAATAAGTACTACAGGATAAATGGAAAAAGTTTGAGATTTCCCCATATTGATGTTCATTCAACATTTAAATTTTAAAAGTGATGGTTAAAAGAATGAGGAACAAGTAGATAGGATATGACTGAATAATGAAGAATGCAGAAGTTCCTATGACTTGGTATAATATCCTACAAAGTTCATGCTTGCTCTTTGCTTCTAAAGATAGCTCTCAGGTTAATACAAGTTCTGCCTCTGCTGAAAAGAAGAAAGTCAGACAAAATGTCAGAATGATTAAACAGAGTGTTGATTCCTGCCAGAAAATCCCCAGGTCCAGATTGGGAGGATGGTGGTGTTAGCATTGAAAGGTGAGATAGTATGTGGTCGAAGGGGATAAAGCACTGGTTTGCTCCTCTCCTGTAAGCAGTATGCCTTCCCAAGTGAAAACAGATAGTTTGGACAATACATATGGTTTCTGCACCCGTCTTATCAGTCACCACCCATAGCAATGTGCATTGGAGATTATCATACCCTTCTGCTGCTATCGCTGTGTGTGGAAGGGTGGGAATGTAAATATTATCAGAGAAAAAAATATGGCCATCTTGCCTGCTAGTCATGCTCTTTGGCCAGGTTCACCAATGGATGTCTTATCTCTGCTCCCCGGTATCCAGAACCCTGCCACATAAACCTCAAAAATGCTGAAACAAAAAACGAAACTTTGCACAGGACAGAGCATGTGAGAAGGAGATAAGTGTTACTTTCGCAAAAAACACATCACTTTTGAGGAGCTAGTATTTCATTGTGATGAGGAAGCTATCTGCTGGAGCCACAGGGCAATGCACTGGGGAAGAGATGGTCACGCTTATTATTAGCTGAAGGAAACCTAGATCTTAGGAGCTTTCTTGGTGACAATTGGAGATAAAGGGAATGGAGGAAGAAAGCTGTCAGTTTGACAGAGATCTCCGTGGATGTTGATTGAGATAGTGACACTTCATCTTGGGTACTGAAACAACCTCTGATTTTCACAGCCAGGTTCTAGCTTACTGCTTATAGTTAGCTACACTGGTGGAAAAAGGTAATGCTGTTTTAGCGATGCTACAGTCTTCTCCAAATCCATGAAGACTTGCTGAAAATGAGTTAAGCATGTTTTGTTTAGCCAAAATAAATCATTTTATGGAGTATTTACTTTCTGGTATAGGCCTAGAATCATTACCATGAAGGATGAAATTCTGCTGCATATTAACATGCCATCACTGATCTGATTTGTTTTACCTCTTGCAGAGTAAGTTATTTTTTCCACCAAAAAAAAAAAAAAAAAAAGAGAGAATGCAAACAAGGTTATAAATACATGTGGTAGTGTAATACAATGGTACTATCTGATGTGATTCCATATGAACATTAACTTCCCTTTGTGTTTTCAATACAGGATATAAAAAAACATTAATCCATAATACTGTTAAGTAGTTATAATCTGTAACTGGGTTCACCTTGTGACACCATGTTAAGGCGATGTATTGTTTGCACTCAGCCAGAATGAAGAACACATTAAGGTCGTGTTGGTATGATTCCTACATATTTTATGGCCCAGTAATGTTTACCTGAGAGCTCAGGTGGACTTGGTAGTGAATGGAGAGAGTGGCTTAGTGTTCCAGTGAGTGCAGTTAGTGTTCTCCCTACTCACATCAAGGGGGGTGCTGTACAACATCAAAGACTTGGTTTAAGGGTGAGAGAAAAAAGATGTTTCTGCTGTAGTTTAGATTTGTGTTACCTGTGGTTAATATATGACTTCTTCCAGAGGTTGGAGATGATGGAGGAGATAATTAATAGATGGTACTATTCAGGATTGTCTTAGTAGTTATAACTGATGGTAGTTTTTCTTTCAATGGAAATTTGTGGTTCAGCAAATGGTATGTAGATGCTACTTGGCCTCTATCAATATCATTGCTGACGTTTTCCAGACTACAGATGATTTCATAGTTCATCTAGTTGTAGATAAAAAAGAGCAGTCTAAGTACATGTATAGCTTTCATACAATGATGGGTAGACTCAAGAGAAACTCTTGGCTGACCATCAGTCTCAAGTGACCTCTCTGGCAGAGGTCAGCCAATCCTCTGCCAGTGAGTTACTGAAGCAGGAACATCTTAACAAATGCCACTAGCCAAAAATGGAAATTCCAGGAGTGCTTGGGCAGCAAAGGTCATCTGCCTGGCAATTCCTGTTCACTCTATTCTGATAGAGATTATCAGTCTAAATGAACTCATCTCTGCAGGGATTATGAACCTGTTTCATTAACTTGATGATTTCAGTTAATTGCTTAGTTAGTGGTTGCTGACAGAGTACTATTATATATTTATATTGAAGCTTGGTAACCCAGCCATACTGAAATGATCCACATAAGCTAAAACTTACACTGTTATGTATAAATCCTTTATTTCCATATTAATGCTTATTTGACAAATTGATCTAGAGGGTGAATCTGTGATTATGAATATATTTCAAGGCAAAATGGTTTCACCAGAACTTTGTCAGTAAGATCCAGGCTTGTCGGTGCAAATTTAAACAATCAGATGATGAAATCAAAGCTCAAGTCATTAATACAGCAATCAAAATCACCAATTTGTGGCTCCAAGTAACAAGCATTGATTCTCATTTATGAGGCTTGAAGCTGTATTAATAGACTTAAATTATGATAACCTTTTTAACCATTATCTAAATGTGTACTTGGAATTATTTTATTGGAATACAATTTGAAAGTCTTGTTCTTAGGTCATATGGTTTTAAGCAAAACGGTAAAAAGGAAGTTCTAAAACCTGACTTCAAGAAACTGAAAGCTTATTGAGATTTCAGGTTTCTTGGTTTGGAATTTCCTTAAATTACTTATTAAATTACCCCTAAATTTCTTGATTTGGCGACATTATCAAGGACCCCAATTTATGATATTGAATATTATATGTGTAGGCAAGATCCAAGGGTTTTATGCCAGCCTCAAAGTAACAGAACCCAGGCAACACTTATGCAGTTTAATGAGTTGAGTCTTTAAATCAACATTTGGTAGAACAGCAGCAGTAACCTGAATCACCTGCCTGGGGAAGGAGAAGCTGTTTTAACTATGCAAATACCACTAGGTTTTGGAAGCACAGAAGTGAAGGGCCGCATTCAGACAAGAATGATTTGGGATCGAAAATATGTAGGACATTCATTGTTTGTTAGATTATGAATTTTTGAGAAACAGTGAATATTTTTGCTCAATGACTTTCTCTTTAATATTGTGTGATTTGCTCCTTTTAAGTTAAGTTTGACTGAATTTCAGTCCCAAGCTAATCTTGTCTGATCTGGCCTTCAGGAGAGGCCTCTGCTGTGATCACCATGGCTATCATCACTGTCTGAAAACATTTTAGAATATAAAAATAGATACCATGACGTCTGGCTCCTTGCTCAGAGCATCAATCTTGCTTAGAGGTGTGCTGTTTGCTGGATGTGTGGTTCTCATTAATTTTGAACTATTTTAAAATGCTGAACTTAAAGGTTCTAGGAATTGGGAAATATAATAGTGGAATTTTTAAATACAAGTAGGCCGTTTGTGTGATGGGTAGGTAGTTATTGTAAAATTTAAACTATAGAAAATATAATGAACAAAAGCGAAATCCAGCATTTGATATTTAATACTTGCTTGGATCTATGCAGACATCCTTTAGCTTAAATTATAGAATAAATGACTCATTCTTTCAGAACTATTTAAGAGCTAATCTTGTGAGAGGAAACTTCCTAAACCCACTTATCAAGAATAAACAGAAAGTGAAATACTACGAAATTTAAACAGTGCTTTGTTCTTTTGGCTGGGTTACATGAAACCTTTCATTGCAAATGTGAGAAAATGTAGGCTGAATTATAAAAGTCACCATAAAAGTATAATATTACAAAATGTGACTGGCGAAATAAGAGAGCTTCTTATTGAAAGAATTTTAATTTATTAATGGATTCCATGGGAATAATTAGTCAATTTACAAGTTATTTCAGTTTTAATTTCACAAATATAGAGGAAGCACATGCACTAGAAAATGAATACCATGGCCGATATGGGTGTTATAAGGATTGTTGGAAAATACTGGAAAGATATATGTAACACAGATTAGACCAGTTCAGGACGTATTACCTTTGATGATACTTAAGTAATAAATCAGAAAAAAATCAGAATGATTTTAACATGGCATATATGCGTACTGTAGATCATGTAATGACAATCAGTTGCAAAATTTGCTTTATTTTGATGCGAAAAATTCCCTCCTATGCATTCAGTCATTTGCACCTACTAAACAATAAATAAATTCTATTTGGAAGTGGCACATTGAATTCATTGCTAGGCAGTTTGCAGGTCTGACTGTTTCAAAGGAAAATGCACTTACAGCAGTGTAGCTTCAAACAGCTTCAGAAGAAAGTCTTAATCATGGGAGTTCTGTTGTGTAGGAAAAGCCTGATTCATCATCTTGGACAGAAAGGTATATAAAAATGTCCTTCTGCCAAAAGATGGAATTAGAGGGTTAGAAATTCTTGGCCCTTTCTCAAAGCTAAAGGTCAAAACGAGTTTCAGAGGCTTTTCAATTCAATAGTAATTTTTTTAATTATTCATTTCCATTTTTAGGCTGAGAGGTTGTTCTCTGCCAAGGCTCCAAGATGGCAACTCTTTCACTGAAAGTAAGCATTGTGGGGAGCAACATTGTGAAGACAATGCAGTTTGAGCCCTCCACCATCATATATGATGCCTGTCGAATGATAAGAGAAAGAATACAGGAGGCAAACCAAGGAAACCGTAAGTAGTCACATGACAGTGAGGGAGAGAGAAAGTGGTGGGTGAGACGGAAAGGTGTATAAAAGTAGGTGAAAGGGGAAGTTGTAACAGATGAGCACATGGCAAGCTTAGAGACACTGCTGGTATGAAAGTGAAGAGAAGGAAATAGAAGACACGTGGCTTCAAGAGACTAGGGGACAGAAAAGAAATATGGTAAATTGCATACTGACAGATGAAAAATCATAGATTATATTATACGTAAATGACTAGATTTTATTTTAATTTTTTTAAAGACTTTTTAATTAGATTTTTAACTATGGTTTTTAATTTGTTTAAAGAACAATTACATATTGCCAAAAAAAAAAAAAAAATTCAGCTAAATGCTTCTTGATATTTTTATACAACTTAAATAGCAGATCTATACAGATTAAAACATTTTGAAAGAAGTACCATATTTTTAAAGGGGAAGGTGAGTTGAATAGCATTTGTTATAATAGGACAATTGCACGTGAAATTCCAGCATGTTCAAATACTTAGTCAAGATGGAACATTTTGTACAAGATATTTCTACCAAATTATTTTAATGGAAGCCAGCCTGATGGGTAATACCTATTGAATGGCTGTAATTTAATGACTCCCTTAGATGACTCTTATTAAAACCATGGCTGTTATACAGATGTTAAAAGAGAACAATACTACTCAACTACTGACATGCAATTGTATTTTTAAGGGGAAAAAAGGTGATATTATCTGCAAATTGAAATAAGAAAGAAATTCTTCATCCCAGCAGGCAGTATTGTGTAGAACTATACTATGTATATTCTTGGCAATGCTCTGGAAATACAGGGGGTGTTTAATATCATGACATATGGCAAGCAGTTCAGATCCAGTTTCTTTTGATAAGCATTTTAGATCTGATAATTGCATCTGATTGTATGCTGCAAGAGAGACTTTCAGTATAACTGAATTTATTCTGCAAATAATGCTCATTTGAGATGTATTGAAGGCTTAGACAAAAGATAGGGAGCGATAGGAAATTCTTTGATCTTCAAAGAGGACATACATACTAATATGAATATTATAGCACAAACTGATTGGTGATCACATTGTGTTATTGGAAGATTTTGTCTTGCACAATTTCGAGCCTGGTTCTGATTAGTTGATATAGTAGTCTCTAGGCTTGTTGGGATAATAATTCTTCATAATAATACTTCATTTTCTTGTTACATGTCTAGTAGACTTTTTTTGTTGCATTGAGCACATAAATAATGATGGTATTTCATTGCCATTGTGTATTTACATTGGTGAACAGAAGGTACCATTTGCACAGCATTTGGTATAGAAGTTTTCAGCCTTCTGTCCAGACTGATGATTTCAGTGAAGTATGTACAGATGTATTGTGTTATGTGAACAGAAGAAGGCACTGGTCATAAAGTCTTAAGTCTTTATTTTTGGCATTTTTTTAAAAGATTTTTAAAAAATGAAAAATCGTCACTCTGACTAAATACACTATATTTCAAAGATAAATACATGTAATGTGAATTATTTGTCAAACTGAGATTTTAGTTGGTAATTGTGGTTCCAGTCTATTTGGAGCAAGTGCACTGTTTAACCTTGCACATTTAAAGCTGCCAAGTTGCTTCTTGTCTAGAGAAAACAGGCTTCAAGAGAAAGTAAAACAGGTGGCCAAACATTTCACTTTTCATTCATTCAAGAAAGAAAGAAAGTAAAACTGATAATTGGACAAAGCCCTCACTCTCAAAACAAGATCATTATAAATTCAGCATCCAGGTTTGACATGATTTTCCCAAGTCAAAACAAGCTGCTTGCCTGTGATAAGAATTGCTGGTTCACTATCTCGTAACACACATCACAGGGAAAACAACTGAACTAGCTAGCCCATGGAAGCTGAGGAAAAATGATAACAGGAGTAAAAAAATAGATGTCATTCAGCAGTAGTTATATATACCACAGTAGATAGATATTTTTTTCGCAGCAGCCAGTTTTACCACTATAAATCTTATGGTTAAATAAACTGCACTGGGCATAGATGCTCCAGGCTCTGTAGCATGGACAGTGGAATCTGTCAAACCTGCAATTGATGAGGTATTTAATTATTGCATTTTATTACTCTTAGTAGCATATGTGAGAAGAAGGAAAGGCAAAGAGGTCAGTGCATGAAGTCCATTAATAATTGATTCACAGCTAGATGGTATTTTTCTAAATGAACTGTTAGGTTATGTATGGAAGATTTACAGATTTTGTTTTATGGGTTTATTCATATAATATGGCTTCTTTGTAATCACTCTATAGCAGTTGATAGCTTTGGGGAATGTAGAAAGCCAATTGTTTATTTATTTTTATAGGGCTGCTTATTTCATCTGATGTTGAGGAAATGAGATCCAGCTGCTTGACTGCCAGTTTTAGAACTTTTTGGCACCATTTATGTGAAAAGGGGAATTTTTTTTAGTCCCTACTTATTATTATTATTATTTTTTGTAAAGCTACTTTATATCTAGTCCATAAGGTATTTAAAATATGCATAACAAAGCCAGGTTAAGATTTAAGTAACTAACAAATAAATAATTATGATTCAACAATTTTTGGAATTTTCTTGTTGAATTTTCTTGTTGAACATTTTTTGATGACAAAAATTTTAAAACATAAAATGACAAATAAATGGCCTTTATCTATATCGTAAAAGATAATCATATTCACCGTCCCCTGTCCAACCACTGTAGATAGCCATCTTGACATAGTTTGAAAAAGCGTGATTTATGGTACAAGAGTTTCAGTAATGCTGGAAGTAGAGTAAATGAAAGTGAATGGCGTATATGAAACACTTCCCCTTATGTGCAGGTTTTGATCTTTGGCTTTTTCCAAAATCGTTACATAGTTATGGCGAGTGTGAGAAAAGGTAGATTTCAAAAAGGTTGGTAAATTCAGGTTAACCCTAGGATAATTCGTGAAATATGAATTTTGGTGCCAACATCCTCTTTAGTGTACCTTTAATCTTCACATGATGGACTGACAATATGACCTTGGCCCTGCTATCAGTTAAACTATAGATAAGGAAAGTGGTTCAGGAAGCCCATAATATTATCAGGATATTTACAAGCAGTGTTAATCCGAGTCCTCTTAGTGCTTTGTAATATTGGGTTTGAGGTTAAGTAGATGGGGTTCTCTTAAGGTCGTGGGAATTAATTAAGATTGAAGAACCCTATGTTATCTCAACTGACTACCTTTTAGGATGTATGACTTATTTCATTAGAAATTTATTCAGTTAATTACCTACACTTTATATGATGTTAATTGGGGCAGAAAACCCAATTGTGTTCTCTTCTTTATGTGATTTGAATAGAGCAGTTCCAAAGTGTTGATTTGTACATGGTTTCTCCAGCTGCCCAACTATCTGACTGAACTAGATTACTTCTTAATTGATAAATACATCTTTATCTTGTCTCACTTGCTGTAGATACTGTTGCGTACTTGTATTTGATATTCTAATGATAGTTATGTGTTAGTACCTATGCTCTGACAGTCTATTGTTTATGTTAATTGTACTTTCTATAGACAATAACCATTCATCAATGAGGGGTTACATTATCGCAATTAGTGCAAGGGTTTTCCAAGAGTTGATGTACTGGAAAGTGCTAGATTTGTGATGAAAATTGAGATTAGATCAGAAACTTTGAGATTCGTGGAGTGCACTGTTAACAACTGTTATATATTTCTCTGGGGATTTGCTTTCACTCTCATCTTTCTTTGAAATTGAAAGTGCATGTGTCGAAATGCTGGATATTGGACTGTCATCGTGATCGGATGCATTTGCAAAAACAGTTAGTGTACAGACCTTTTGAGGACAATTAACACGATATGGACACTTCAAGATAAATTTATCTCGGTATAATTGTAGTTTAATTTTTGATTTAGTTAAGTAAGTCATTGTAAATAAATTGTGAAGTTTTGAGTTGTGTCATTGATTTTTGCTTGCATTTTGGAGTATTCTGACCCATACCAATACCTGTATGATGAACTAATTTAACCACAGCTTCATCACTTATCTCCCAACCAAATTAACAACTAGTTGTCAATAGTCTTACACTTACTATTATGTGTACTGTGCAGAGGAATTGCATTGACATTGTTCTTGTGGTTTATTCATACCTACTGGTGTGCACTTTTGATTTAATTACAGCCACAACATGTATATGTCAGCCAATTTGTGGGTGAAAAAACATTTTGTGTGTACAACCCTTGATTATGGACACAATTCCATGCCTTAAATCAAATTATCATCTATTGAGGTTACAGGTATATTGTGAGATAAAATAGGATAACCAATGACGAAACACCTACATGGATTTAATTTATCTTATTATATTAATCTGTTATTGAATTGTGAAAAATATTTACATATGTTTCATATCAGTTAATATGACAAATGATGAGAATTTTATTGAAAATAATATTGCAAACAGAGATGATGCAGACTATCTGTCTTTATCAAATGCATTGTTTTAAAAAAGTGAATCATGGTCATCCAACAATAGGTGTCGCCACAGTCCAGTAAAGACAATGCTGCTATCCATGGTTTAGAGGTTCTTGGTCTGAGGATTTAGTTTGTGTGTATGTATTGTTTGTTTGTATGCCCATGCACATACTCATGTGTTTGCATATGCTTGTGTGCTCTTGTACTGTGCATATACATCTTCACATAGGAGTCCTAATTGATTATTAAATATGAAATATTTCTGTAAGAGATGTATTCCCATTATATTCCTGTTATGTTATTAAACATTCTTTTTTAAGGTTCACTTAATATTTATTTACAAGACCTGTAAATTTATGTAAGTGGCTAGACTAAACGAAGTAAAGAGAATAAGACTTTAGAGAAATTATTTAGATATTTACAAGTTAAGTTGAAAATAAAACATAATTAAATACTTATTACTATATAAATAATTAACAAAGTAGAGTTAAATAAGAAAAATGTCCTACTAAAACAAAACTTCATGAAAAGACAGTAAAAAAAAGACTGTTTAAAGTAAGAAACAAGGATTGGGATTAAGGAAGGGCAAAAGAACAGGATAGACTGAAAACAAAGAACGGAAATAAAGAAAAGGAAAGGCTGAAAAGTAAGAACTAAAATACAAAGGCAATATCAGAGTAAGAAATCACAGATATATTTTTTACTTCAATTCCAGCTGCTGACTATGGCCTGTTTCTGGCAGATGAAGACCCCAAAAAGGGGGTGTGGTTAGAGCAGGGCAGGACCCTAGAGTATTATTTATTGAGGAATGGGGTATGTTATCCATAGGCAATATTTTAAACCACAGAAAAAACAAAGGAACTTTTAATTAGTTTATTTATATTGTGGTAAAAGTTGAAGCAGTTTGACTACTTAATTTTAAGATTTGACTCGTTATAAAATAAAGCTGTTTGAGGTGCTTTTGTGGGAACACGATCAGTTCACAAGCATAAGAAGGTTTTGATATCAATTGAATTTTCAGTCAGTGCTTTCAATACTGCTTGTGAAAATTTTTTCCATGGTTTTGAAATTGAACCTTAGTAAATTTGCTTTAAATCCTGTATGTTGAATCTCAGTAACAATTTTAAAATTGATTCTCTACAGGATTTGCTGGAGTACAAGAAGAAGCAGCGTATCCTGCGAGTACGTATGTTAGATGGTACAGTGAAGACGCTGCAGGTGGATGACAGCCATACCTTAGGACAGCTTATGGTCACCATTTGCACCAGAATAGGTGAGAAATCAACGTGTTACAGAATCCCCACGGGGAACTAATTCAGTGTCTTTTAGGGGGCTAGATGGAAAGCTTTTAAGTGGACTGCCATATTCGATCCCCAGTCTAGTTAGTCTGCTGCTGTGAATGCGGCCAGTGTTTCAAATGTTCATTATATCTGATGATTCAGAATATGAAGATGAAGAAAATTTTGTTTTGCCACCACCCATTTGGAAGATATGATTCATTTTCCTGTATTTTGCAGTACTTCTGTGGACCTTATATATATTTTTTCTCTTTCTTTTATCCTAATGCAATGGGTAACCATAATTATACAATGGAATGAAATGCTGTAGATATGCATGTGCCAAAGAAAATTTTATGTGTTTTTAGGTGTAACGAATCATGATGAGTTTTCATTGGTGAGAGATTTGTCGGAGGAAGAGAAGGAAAAGACGCTGACATTGAGAAGAGGCCAGTCTTTGGCCAGGGACCAGAAAAAATTAGATGAATTGAAGAAGAAGCTGCATACAGATGATGAATGTAAGTTATACAGGATCTTTTACAAATAATTTTTCAGGTACGAAAATGAAAAAAAAATTGGTGTGGATGTCATTTTTTAGTGAATAGGAATGAAAAGTTATTATAGTAAGATGTTACTTTTTGTAAAACTGAGAAAATGTCTATAATTAAATCAATTTTACATGAGTCTTTGATTTTTTTAAGCATGTAACTTTGTAATTTAGCTGTTATATATTTCATAACACAATTTTAATAGATTTTGAAAAAAAAACCCCATTAATATCTTAATTTTCCAGTGAATTGGCTGGACCATTCTAAGTCCCTGAGAGAAGAAGGAGTTGAGGAGAATGAAACTTTATTATTGAGGAGGAAGTTTTTCTTCTCTGACCAGAATGTGGATGCCAGGGATCCCGTACAGCTTAATCTGCTATATGTACAGGTAATAAGAAAATGTCTGATTTGAGAACCTTTTGCTTTCATCTCATGTTTTAGTAGTTTCATTCAATGATCACCTGTTAAAATCAAGGTTTAGATCTAATACAAACTGAATGACTAAAATGCTTCATCTGAAAGGCCTGGATTAGTGTTTGAATGTCAGGGGGATATTTCAGCAATTGATTGTGAGCCTTTTGAGAAGAAACCTTTACCTCATGTGTTTTTTCACAAATTTCAGAGTCGTGATGGTATTTTGAATGGCACTCACCCGGTCACACAGGAAGAGGCTGTGCAGTTTGGAGGAATACAATGCCAAATACAGTTTGGAGATCACAATGAACAGAAACACAAGTCTGGATTCTTGGAGTAAGATTGTTTTTAAATGGATAAGGGTTTTTTTAAAAATGGAAAATTTTAATTGCAGTACATGGCAAAGAAATAGTTACTGTAAAGGAAGTGAAGTAGAAAAGAAGTTTACATCTTCTGAAAAATTATGTTCAGACCAGTTGGATCTCATTTATTGCTGGCACAATCATTAATTAGATATTCTGTGTAGAGTTAATTTTTTTAAAGGAAAAAGTTGCTTAAAAATGATGAAAATATTTGAATTATTGGATATTTCATTGATTTTGTAAAAAATCTTGTTTGCTAGGTTGAAAGAATTCCTTCCCAAGGAATACATGAAAATTAAAGGAATTGAAAAGAAGATATTTGCAGTAAGTAAAAAAAAAATCCTGTAGCAATCAGACTTTTACGTGCTCTATTTTGGCCTATTTCCACACTTTTTAAAATCATATGAAGTTGGTGAAATTGACTACTGCTTTCACAAGCAGGAAACCAGAAGATGTTATCTTGCTTTTGGTGGTTTGACGGTGGATTTTGTATACAGGCATTTTCTGAAAGTAACAATATAAGCCTTTGTTTATACAGCAAGTAAAAATACCTCAAAAGTTTCAACAAAAGCCTAAAATATTGTGATTTTCTGTTTAGGAACACCGTAAGCTGATAGGTTCCAGTGAAATTGATGCCAAAGTTCGCTACTGTTCCCTGTGTAGGTCTCTGAAGACCTATGGTATCACATTCTTCCTGGTCAAGGTAAAGAACAGAGATCAGTCTTGACATTTGGATGCATTATTTTGTCTGATGAATCACAGTCAAAGAAAATATTAAAATAATCAATGAATTTTCCAGTATAAAGTCATTTGGTTACAGTCAGGTATTGCTGTATTCCTAATTAAGCAGTATATAAGATATTTCAAAGCAGATATTTTTTCATCAGAATAATTCATATTGATTGTTATAAATTCAGGTACACTACAACCATTAGTCATCTACGTTTGAAGTCATAACTTTGGTGATTAAGAATAGTATTTCGAATACATCAGGTGGTTTATGGAAAAACAAGAAAATTCCACAAAATTAGTCCTAGTCATGCATTATTTTAATTTATATTGATATTAAATGAGAATTGAGAATAATGACATGCCCACATTGAAATTCTTGTTTTGTAACCTCAGGAAAAAATGAAAGGCAAAAACAAGCTTGTTCCCAGGTTGCTTGGTATAACCAAAGACAGTGTGGTCAGGGTGGATGAAAAGACAAAAGAGGTATTGGACAGTATTATATTGATTTCAATCTGAAAAAAAAGTGTTACACATATTACACTATTATCATTGCCTGGTATTGTAAATTAAAAAAAAATTAAGGCTGATTTTTTACCTTAACCATTTTTACAGTCAGGGAAAAAATCATACACAGTAGTAGCCTATAGCATTTCACATGAAATCATAATTTCTTTTTTCAGATCTTGAAAACTTGGCCTCTCACCACAGTAAGAAGGTGGGCAGCTTCACCTAACAGTTTCACCCTGGATTTTGGGGACTACTCTGACTCCTATTACTCAGTGCAGACCACAGAGGGTGAACAGATTTCACAGCTGATTGCAGGGTACATTGATATCATATTGAAAAAGGTAAGACAACATAGATAAGTATATCTATCCATAATTTTTGATACATACACTGGTTTTGAAACAGTTGTACTAGTGCTAGATAAAATCTGGAAAATATCAATATGTGACTTAGCTGTTTGACTAAGATAGATTTAGATAGAAACTATCTTGAACCATACTGACCACATACTAACAGAATAGTTTGATTATTTGTCAATATTTTTTATCAGAAAAAGGCCAAAGATCACCTGGGCATTGAGGGCGATGAGGAATCCACTATGCTTGAGGAGAGTGTTTCCCCAGCAAAGTAAGTCTTTAGATCAAAATATGCTGCATTGAAATTAACACTGTATTGCATTGGAGAAGAATAGTTGAAAGTTAGAAAATAATTTTTGCCTTTTCCTAGAAACCAGTAATCAGCACCAGTCTTCAACAGAAAAGAGAGAGAGAAAAAAGAATTATTTATATACATTATGACAAAGCTTTATGTCCTTTTCAGGGCCACCATCATCCAGCACCAGTCCTCCAAGACAGGCCAGGCTGTGACGGGCAATGTGGCTATGCCTGCAGTGCTGAGAGCTGGGGGTCAGGGCCAGGCCCAGTTCTCTCATGGCAGCATGCAGCAGCCACAGTATGGCAAGATACAGAACCAGTTCCACCAGGGGCATGCTCCTCCAGCTGTGAGTTGAGGACTATCTGCAGGCACATAACCAGCAATTTTAAAAGGGGGTTCTTTTTCTGAAGAAGTGGATTTTTTTACAATAAAACCTTCGTGTACCTAGATAAAATATTTCCCACAGGGGAACTTTTCCCTGCATAAAGGGCGGTTTGTTCTGTAGCCCCCCTGGCTATGGGCCTGATCTGTTACTTTTTACAGTGACCTATGTATTGCATGTATTACTTAGTAGTATGAATAAATGCAATAGCTATTTATCACATTTGAAGTTTTCTAATAAATTAACAAGTTTCAATGATTGAGATACGAATTGTAACAGGTATTAGAGTCTCGTAAAAAAATCAAACAATATTGCTTTTGAACAAGGATAAAGGTTCTTTGCTTTCTTTCTTCAGGGCCAGAATGCCCAGATGCAGGGAATGTCCCATGCACAGAGAGGACTGTGGAGCTCTATGAACTCAGCTATCACAGATATAGAGACAGTAGAGGGCAGCATGCACCAGAGAGCTGAGCTGCCTCCACTGGGGCCTGATCATGTAAAGCCACCTTCCTCACCATTTTACTTTGTGATTAGTTATATATGTATGAAAGTTGAGACAAAAATGCAGATGAAAAGTATTGTCTTTGGAAACAAAGAAAAGTATTCAGCAATGTATCTGTTTGGTAAAGTGTAGTGATGTTTGCAATTACTAATCATTTTCAGTAGATAAGAAAAATACTTCTGTCCAACATTGATCAACTAATAGGTATCAGTTTTCTCACAGAAGTCATAATTTTGTGCATTAACGTAAAACTCTGATATATTTTTTGTATATTTCCAACTCCCCAGGCCTCTAAGAAGTGGAAGGAGAATGCACTGGATGTCTCCAAACACCACATTGGCTCTCAACTGTCCGCCATGAACGCTGCCACGGCGCAGGTGGTCACTATGACTTCTGGTGGACCAGACGACACTGACTACACAGCTGTAGGATCGGCTGTGTCAACCATGTATGCGATCAGTTGTTATTATAATGAAATGATGTGGAATTGCGTATATAATAATGGTTATGATGATTCTGTAGTAAAAGTGTAAGGAGTTGTGGTTTTATGTTAAAACCTAAAAAGTGGGTATAATGGAATCATGTTAAAGGTCTTACATCTGTACATATTTTTAGAATGATAAATATAAGGTGCAAATATAACATTTTATTCTGTAAAGCATCATTGTATTATAAAATAGATTACAAAATCATTTATTATTCATTCTGTAATTGTACAGACAAAATGTAACTCTTATACTTATGTATATGGAGTAATATTGTGTCATGTGTCTGTTTTTGTTTGCATCAAACTAACTTTTCATAAAAAACTTTGTAAACTCTTGTATGATGCATCACTTACATGTGCAACAGCAATTTTTATTTTTCATTTATTTATTTATTTTCAATCTCTACATTCCAGTACTGCAAACATGACTGAGTTTGCTAAAGACGTCAGAATGCTGGCTGCACTACAGGAGAGTGATGAAGTTGGAGATAATCTCCTGGATGCTGCAAGAAGACTTGCAGGTGCATTCTCAGATCTCCTGAAAGCTGCCCAGCCTGGAAGCTCAGAGGTGAGAAAAAATCAGTCTTCTTAAAAATGTTTTTTTTTAAATAAGAAAATCAATTATTCAGACAATGCTTCAGTTTTTTTTTATCACAAAAATAGATATTTATTATTTTGGAATTTAAATGACAATTAGATGAATCCCCTGGTGATGGACACTGCAGTGAGTCAGTTTTTTATTTTTTAAGACAACACAATGCCCACATGGATGAAATGAAAATAGTAAAAAGAATTCATTGGTGAATTTTGCATGTTGTACTTGAACTTGAGGTTTATGATATCAGAATTCCAGTTAATATCAAAGGCTCTAGCAATTAAGTGTCGAAGTATGTTGGGGATATTGGAGACATAATGGTCAAAATAATTTGCTGTATAATTTCAGCCACGTCAGAACCTGTTGACGGCTGCCAGTAAGATAGGAGAGGCCAGCAATGAGGTGATGAAGACTGCAGGAGACGGGACAGACGAGGTGGACAAGGCATTCCAGGATGCTCTCCTGGCTTTGGCTAAGGCAGTGGCCAATGCCACGGCCGCTCTGGTACTGAAGGCCAAGGGAGTGGCCAGTAAGTGTGATGACCAAGCTTTACAGAACCGTGTGATCAGCTCAGCCACACAGTGTGCTCTGGCCACCTCACAACTTGTAGCCTGCACCAAGGTAAGGCTACCAGCCTTATGGTAGATTTTGATCTGTTGATAATTAAAGGATACTTTTAACAAAATGCATATTTACTTTTTGTGTAATTGTGGATGTCTGTGTTGGGCCTTACAACAACATAATTTATCTAAAACATGTTTTTCTTATCAAGTGCTGTGAGAAATGCTGAGGTATTACCTCCATGAAAGTATTGGACAGAATACCTTTCAGTTTTTCATAGTTCTCGACAATAAGAACATTATTCATGTATTAGATCCAACCTGTCCATAACTTATGAAACTGTTCACTCAAACACATTGTATGTTGTAACATTTTGTACAGTCATGTAGTCTAAAACAGTAACTTAAGTGACTTGTCATTTAAGAACAGAATTTTTGGGGGGTCAAATTGTTCTACATGTGAAAAGTGTTTCGTACATTTTAACAGCTTGTACTGTGCTGTTCCAGGTTGTAGCCCCTACAGTTAGCAACCCAGCTTGCCAAGAACAGCTGGTAGAGGCAGCAAAGTTAGTGGCAAAGTCAGTAGAAGGTATTGTGGAGACTGCACAGGTATATGAATACATAGATGTATTTCCAGTATATTTCAATACATGCAGTTCACATTATATTTAGGATTAATATTAGATCTCAATTTGAAGAAAAATGGCAGTGTTTTGCTGTTTTTAAATCTAAACATGACAGTATTAAGTGGAATCAATTGAATGGGATTAATCTTTAGAGAAAGAATGCAGTATTAGTTATTTTTTTATTTTTACTGTACATGCTCTGTGCCATTTGTTTCAGTTGTTGCTTCCACCAAGGCTGTAAACGATTAGATAATGTAGTTTGAATTAATAACCTCAGGCTAATTCTTGACTACAACATTTTCAGACTGCCTGTAAAGATGACAGACTACTGCAGGAGTTGGGAGCAGCAGCCACAGCTGTCACCAAGGCTTTGAATGACTTACTACAGCACATTAAGCAGGGGTCTGGAGGAGGACAGGTAAGGGGGGTGGCAGTGGAATCAGCTGTTGTTGACAATTGCTTTCACTTTCATTTTCATGAGATTAAAATTATGAATGTCCCTTTTAATGCTGAAATGGATGGCAGTGGATTGTAATTGACATTTGCTTTAACTTTCATTTTCATAAGATTGCAATTACGAATGTCCCTTTTATGGCTGAAGGCTTATTTTTCTGTTGCCAACTTATAATTTCCCCCCCACGAATTGGTCTCCTATTGTGATTACTAGTGTATATGAAGTATCCTATGTGTATGTTGTATAGGGAGGCCAGCAGGAGGTAGCTGTAGAGGCTATACTGGGAGCCACAGACCGTCTGTTCAGTAGCATGGGGGATGCCCCAGAGATGGTACGACAGGCAAGGGTACTGGCTCAGGTGAGTAAAAATCTTTTGGGTATGGGAAACATTCCTCTTTGATGTGTAACAGAGTTGTTATTTTTTAAAAAGTAAAAACACAGACACAATGTTAGGGATGGAGCATGGTCTGTTTTGAAGACTTTGTTTTTTACTTTAATATTGTTATTTCATTTTTCATTTTCTTATATTAATTTTGCAACCAAAGCTTGCTTCTCTTTGATAAACTCGTATTACACAAAACAAATATGAAAGTAGTTGTTGTGAAATTCACATGTACGTTGACCATATTTTCCCTAGGTTTGATAAAACAAACATTAGAAATAGACTTCAGTGAGTTTTTGGTTTGAATTTTTAAACCGTATAATGATCCTAATAATGGTTGGTATTTGTTTTCCCAGGCCACCTCCCAGCTTGTGAATGCTATCAAGGGGCAGGCAGAGGGTCACTCAGAACCAGACATGCAGAAACGCCTCCTGGCAGCAGCTAAAGTATTGGCTGATGCCACAGCAAGGATGGTGGAGGCAGCTAAGGTAAATATAATCTGTTATGTTATATAATAAGACTTGCCTTGGTTATGGTCAAATCAGATCAAGATATTATTGTTTACTTTGTTAGGGCAATTTAGCTAAATACTGCATTTGGTATGACACATGATTTGTACTTAGACACAAAAATTAAGTAAGAACAAAAAGTGTATCAATTGTCGTATTGATTTTCACACCCCTGCCAGTGCCAAACATCCGCTGCATGTAATTTTGTAAAGTTCTGTAATATATTGATTTTCATTGGCCAGTTAAGCTTTAATCATCTTCTTATCTCAATGTCAAAGCTATTTTAACTGTGACTAAATGTTTTTTATTCACTCTAGGGCTGTGCCTCCAACCCCAATGACTCTTCCCAACAGCAGCACCTTAAGGCAGCCGCTGAGGATCTGAGGTCTGCCACAAATAAAGCGGCCAGTAATGCACTCAAGAAGAAGCTAATTAAGACTTTGGAGGTAGGCTCTACCTTCCTGTTAGATACAGCATTAACTTTGAGAAAGTAAAATGATTCTATGGAAGTTGTGTGTTATATGTTTTTGTATATGCAATGTGTGCAGTCTCTTTTTAATTAATTAATTAATTTATTTTATTTATTATTTTTTTATTGTTTATAAATTTATGTCTTAACACATTAACATTATTGACTTTGTGTTAGCAGTTTTAGTAGTAGGTGGAGGATGAGGAGAAGGTGGTTTTCCATCTAAACCTGATGATGACTATATCTGTGCATTATAATTTTCTTTATAGGTGGCTGCCAAACAGGCTGCCTCTGCTGCCACCCAGCTGATCAATGCATCTCAAGCAGCTGAGAAATCAAACAGGAACCCTGCCTCCCAGAACCAGCTCAATGCTAGCTGTAAGGTAAGAACAGTCAGGCGCTATTGGCATTCATATTTGCGTGTGACATTTTATGTTTAGATTGTAAGGAAGTTTGCAAGAGTCTTTTGCTAATTTTTTTTAGTTTTTTTGCTAGTGTGCTGAACAAATTTCAAGTTCACAATGGATTTCAGATTTGCACTCCTTGTGAAGCAGAAAAATCATATTAATAGTGCAGTAAGATTTCTAAAGATGTATTTTTTTCTCTTAGAGCACAGCTGATGAAATTCCCAAGTTGGTGCAGGGTATTCGGGGCACCTTGCACTCTCCAGACAGTCCTACAGCCCAGCTGAACCTTATCAATGCTAGTGAAGATATGATTCAGGTACATGTACGTGTGACTGCTTTAGTGTATATGTGTGTGCACGTGTGGTACATGTATATACATATACATGCATATATATATATATATATATATGCTTACCTGTGTGCATGTTTAAGTGCCTGTGTATGTGTGCATGTATGTTAACCTATAATGCGTGTATCCAAGTGAAAATATGATGCAGGCAGGTGTGCACAGTCTGCAAGTATTGGCATAATATAGATGAGGATAGGTGTATATGTGTGCACATGTAGTATGAATGTGTGTGTATGTAAAGGTATTGATATAGATGGTAAAGTGAAATATTTTAATGTGATAAACTGTGATACTTCAAAACAGCAAGTTGCATTTTATGTACTTAGCTGCTTCAAATTTTGAAAGTCTCAAAGAATTTCTCTAGGCAAGCCACAGATCCTAGTTTCACTAATGTCATTGGCCATTGTTTCTGCTGTATACCAGTAGATCATAGACTCTGGTGTCCCAAAGGGCCACTCAGTATACAAATTTATATATATCAATATATATAATATGTGATATGATCTTCTCCCTCAGGTGAGCAGTCGTCTAGTGAACAGTGCTAAGGCTGCTACTCCCACTGTCTCAGACCAAGCCACTGCTCTTAGTCTCACTAATGCTACCAAGAACATGTCAGCAGCCCTGGCAGAACTGAGGACAGCTGCAGCAAAGGTAGGGTGAATCTGCAAAATGATATATCAGATAGAAAATAATAACTATCAAACTTGATCATCAAAAGTTTTTAGTCAGTGGTACAGTAACCTGTATTGTGATATGAAATTTTTCTATCATCGTTTAACATTCTTCATTGCAGAGTGAGCTTTTTTGCCTTATTGTACCACATATTTTTATTAACAAGGTTTTCTATGAATGGTGTTTTTTTTTTTTTAAGTCTTTAAAATGTGTGCTGTTCAGTTATTATATATTTACTACATTCAATCCATTTCAGGCACAGGAAGCTTGTGGAACGCTGGAGATAGATGGTGCTCTGGCTCACATCAATGACCTGGAAAGGGAGCTGGAAGAAATAGAACAAACATGTCAGGCTGGTAAACTGCTGCCACTGCCTGGAGAGACGGTATGTAGGACTTCAGGCTTCCACAGTGGAAACTTTCTCTTTTTAGTTGACTAAGTAATATTTTTTGTTTTTGAGAAACCATTGTGAAACCATTATTACCTCCTACATGGATAACATGTAACATGAGCCCCAAAGATGCATATGTTAAGATCTTATATGAAAGATGTCTTCATTATATTATGCATTTACTTTATTTTTGGTTTTTAGTATGTTATAGCATTTCATATACAGGTCTTACAATTCTATTATTTATTATTTTTGTTGTATTTCCAGATGGAATCTTCAGCCCTCCAGTTGGGCCACACCTCCAAGACGGTAGGCTCTTCCATGGCTCAGCTCCTCACAGCAGCTGCCCAGGGAAATGAGAACTACACAGGAATTGCTGCTAAAGACACCGCCAATGCCCTTGGTGTCCTCACCAATGCTGTTCGTGGTGTGGCAGCGTGCTCAGATGACAGGAAAGTCCAGCAGAATATCATCGATGCGGCCAGAGATGTCATGGATAAATCCGCCAGGTTGATTGAAGAGGCAAAGAGAGCCGTCAGTAGTCCTAACAGTCCTGATAACCAGCAGAGGCTGGCACAGGTGAGGTTTATGTCATGTTATTTGATATCTGAGTGCAGTGACACAGTGTCCACAAAGCGTCCACTTGACAATATTTAAAGTGTAATTGCCAAAGCTGCATGTTGTGGCTGTAGGGTACTATTTCATGTATGAACTGAAGTCATAATTTGAACTTAACATTTAGACTTAAATAGTTTTCTGCTTTAGCATACTAAATTAAAACAACAGTGATGCATAGCAGCAGAGCTCAAGATTAGCACCATACACACTTTAGCTGTAATTCTGTACTTCTCCCCTTACCTTGGTGATATTTGTAGCTGTTTTCTCCCAGGTTGCTAAGGCAGTGTCACATGCACTAAACAACTGTGTGAACTGTCTCCCAGGACAGAGGGATGTAGATGCTGCCATCAAAGAAATCAGCAGCATGAGCCAGACTATATCTTCAGGACAGGTAACATTTAAAAATCTACTATAACAATACATTATACAAAATAAATTATTAATGGGACAGAAGGAATTTTATTTTATGTCATCAGTGCATGTTAAAATGCAAAAAGGAAAGAGCAGAACTGTAAAAAATAGAAGATTAAAACCAAACAAATACTGCAGTTTGTTGCTGTATTAGTAATCATTTATATTCTTATTTATAAATGAAAACATATCTCAGCTAAAATGATTATCTTTTGGAATTCCAGACCAACAGTATACATGATAAAAATGTATGTGACTTCTAATTTCAGTTTCCACACACAGACAAGAGTTTCTCCGAGGTTCAGAATGAGATGAGTGCTGCAGCCAACAACCTGAACCAGGCAACCACAGATGTGGTGGCAGCTGCCCAGGGTACCCCACAGCAGCTGGCTTCTGCCTCCAACAGCTACAGCAAGTCCTATTCTGAACTGGTCAATGAAGGTCAGTATTCAGACTCTAGTCTATCTACTTAAGTCTAATCTATATCTGCTTGCAAGTCCTACTCTGAACTGGTCAGTGAAGATCAGTATTTGGAATCTATATCTGCTTAAGTCTAGTCTATATCTACTTGCAATTTCTAGTCTGCATTGGTTAGTGAAGGTCAGTATTCAGACTCGGGGTCTATATCTTGCTTATTTCAGATATGTTCTTCTCGGCATGTACAATTATACATGTTCTGTTTGTATTTCAAAATATTATTTTGTTAATTTGATATTGCCAGTTGTTTTTGACTTATGAATATAGATATATTATTTAATTTTCAGTCTTAAAATAAAATGACTTTTTTGTAACTTGATATTTCTTCTCTTCAATTTATTTTGATAAAACAATAATCCAATATTTCATTCTTAGGGATGACATTTGCTGGAATGACCAAGGAGAGGGAGGTCCAGTCCCAGATAGTGAGTGGTCTGAAAAGTGTATCTATGGTGTCCAGTAAGCTGTTACTGGCTGCCAAGTCGCTCTCTGCTGACCCCAATGCTCCCAATGCCAGGAACTTGCTGTCCCAGGCAGCCAGGGCGGTCACTGACAGTATCAACCAGCTGATTGATATATGTACCACATCAGCACCAGGACAAAAGGAGTGTGATAATGCATTGAGGCAGATACAGGTAAGTTGTATTGGAATATAGTGAAAACTTAATATATGTCACACAATATTTGTATTGATAACATGTTGTTTTATTGTAGCTACAATATTTTGATAATACATTGTTGAAAAAGAACATGTTATACTTTAGTCACACGCATTCTGTTATGTTACATAGTTCAAGTACATTTTCAGCAGCTTGTCTTATATGGTGGTGCTGTGTTGTAACAAGGATTATTCCGGGAAATATGAGAAATCATTGAATTTCATGTGCTTTTATTCCATTATAGGTGATGCATAATGTGCTAGACAACCCAACAGAACCTGTTAGCGATGCCTCATACTTTGACTGTGTGGACTCTGTGATGGAGAAATCAAAGGTAAACAATGACTTTGACAAGTGGTTGTATGTATTTATAATAATGTGCATGTTCAACAAAAACAGCTATTTATGGGACAGATTAGAAAATGTTTCCATATGAAGGCAACTTTAATTCAGATAAAAATCTGGCTTGAAATTGAAATACTTTATAGGCACTCTGTAATAATTAGTGAATAATGCATTAGTATTATTAATGAATAGATATTATTTAATGTATTAATGTTATTTGTTCCAGGCACTAGGAGATAGTATGTTAGGTATAACAGACCATGCCAAGAGAGGTGCACTGGAAGAGTTTTGTGGCTCTGTCAAGCAGTTTGCTGGATCTGTGTGTGGACTCACTGAGGCTGCTGCACAGGTAAGAGGATGCTCTTATTGTCTTATAGAAGACTTAGGCTGCAGAAAAAGATTAATTTTAAAAGGAAACCCAGACATTTCAGTTCTTCTACGGTTTGCATTTGTAAAATTGGTCTATCAGTCCTTTGTATGCCATTATGCCATGTACTATTATTTAGGAGCAAACTTGTGAAGTTATTGTTGTGTTACAGGCAGCCTACTTGGTGGGGATATCAGACAGAGCTTCTGAACCGGGAAAACCAGGCCTGGTTGACCAGTCCCAGTTCTCACGGGCAAACCAAGCCATCCAGATGGCATGTGAGACTCTAACAGATCCCTCCAGCACGCAGCAGCAGGTGAGTGAAGTGCCATATTGGATGTTGCATGTTGGTTAATGGCTGTTCTGAGTAATTAGTGGTCATTTATATGGCATGGCAGTTATTGTATGGCAGTTATTGTATGGGAATTAATATGTTGTTTATTTTATTTTATTTTTTGTCAAAGGGAATAGATAGCATTTTGTAAAAGATTTGCTACAGGGTTTTATGTAGCCATATTCAAGATTTGCAGTATTTATTTTTATTTGTGCATAATTTTAACACTTTTTCAAAACATGGATTTAAAGCCTGCTTGATTATTTTAGAGTAGATTGATTGTAGTTGCACATTTTGAGTGTAGCTACATCTTTGGGTTTTAGTTGGCTAAATTTTTTATGCACATAGTTGGCCAAAGGTTTTTGCATTTCTGCACTGTTAAAAGTTAATTTTTAGGATCAGGTCCTATAAAAATACCTTGGTGTGGTAGATACAGATTTGTTGTTATATTATACAAATTAGGTATTGTATTTGTTGTGGTAGCTCATGCAGTGTCCATGCACCAAGTGGATGAGGCCATTTGCTTACTGTTCCACAAGCTTTTTGGTATTATTTTTGTTTCTGCAGGCTTTTTAACAGTGTTATATTTTCTGTATATATGTAGTGTATCAAAATGTTTTGTAGAAGTATTCTGTTAAAGCCCAATTAGTAACTCATGGGATAGGACACCTATTAGATAATTATCTAGTTAGCATGAATATTCAGAATAGATAAAATAAATGTTTCTTTTTTGTTTTATTTCTGAATCTTAATAAAAGGTGAAGCACTACCTTGCCTTAAGTGCCTTTCATAACTTATTTAAAGCAATTGTTAAGACAGTGTTAAAATTTCTTTACCCATTTTGGGCACCATTTTGAGAAGCCATTTGTCCTGAGGCGCAATTAAAGTTATAATAATATTGTACATGTAGACTTCAATTCTGTGATAAAATTACCTGCAATACCAGCATATGAACTCACACTTTTGACAATCTCTATGCTTCCAAAAGGAATTCAAGAAAGTGGTAAGGCTCATAGTATAGTTCAACAATAGTTTTATGGGATCTTATAAACATCTTTCAATGTGGAGGCAGTGTGATGATGTGGTCGGACAGATTATTTGTTTTATTACTTTACTTCACTAAAAGGTGGAAAAAGATGGAGTTGGGCCATTTGTTTAAAATTTATTTCACAATTACCATATTCATTACAAAGACTCTTGATTACATCAGTGCACATGTAGAAGTTGTAATTTATAATGATAGAAATTGGCATTTTATAAATAGTTCTACCATTTCTTGATCTGCTAGGTGCTGTCAGCAGCTACAGTGGTGGCCAAACATACGTCTGCGCTGTGTAACATCTGTAGAGTGGCATCATCAAAAACAACCAACCCAGTGGCCAAGAGACATTTTGTGCAATCAGCTAAAGACGTAGCTAACAGTACAGCAAACCTGGTGAAAGCTATTAAGGTGAGAGAAAGAAGCACTTAATGTAGATTTTCTGGAAAGATTTAAGAAATGATATATATGTATTTTGAGCTGCAAAGTATGAAACCAGTTTATTCCATTTTTTTTTGCCTTTAAAGTTATACTGTAATAGTAGTTGATTACATGCGACCAAATTCTCAAGATGCTGGATAGTCACAATCAAAAACATTTGCTATATCAAATGAATACACAATGGAATTAACATATTTGTAAACTCTGTGTTTTGTTATTGCTAGGCATTGGACTCTGACTTCTCCGAGCAGAACCGTAAGAGATGTGCAGATGCGGCCAAGCCTCTGATTGGAGCTGTGGAGGAGCTGACCACCTTCGCCTCCTCACCAGAATTCACCAGCGTGCCAGCAAAGATCAGCAGAGAAGTCAGTAACTGGTTTAAATGGGGAAAATATTCCTGACTGATAATAGTTTTAAGGGTTTTTTGTCTTTGATGTTAAAGCTACTCAGTTTATTTGATAAATCAAAATTGATTGTGTGACACTGTTAAAATTTCAGTTTACAGATTGTTTTTTTTTAAGATTTAAGAAATTCATAACACCAGAATCAGAATGAGAAGACAATATAACTTGCCATGTATTTCTTGTTAAAAATCGCAGCTCTTCTCTCTAGAATATCTGCATTCATTACGTACATTTTGACTGTTTTTTGTTGGGATACTTGGTACGTAGTATATTCTCATATCATTATCTCTCTAATATATTTTATTTCTTCTTGAAAAACACCAGGCCAGGAAGGCGCAGGAGCCTATCATCTCCTCTGGCAAGGCGATGATCGATGGAGCCTGTCATATGGTGAAGGCAGCCAAGCAGCTGGCAGCTCATCCTAAAGACCCTCCAACCTATTTACTGTACTCCAATCACTCCAAGAGCGTGTCTGATGCCATCAAATCTCTAGTTGCTGCCATGAAGTGAGTGGTGTTTTCTCACCTTTACAATATTTAAAAGCTCCAGCGTTAGCTTTATAAGACAAAATAAATGCATTACTCTTGTGCTAGTATTCCTCAGACGTCCCATAGGAACTTTAGGTAATAAGGGACCTTAGTGGCACCTCACTTTTTCATAATTCTTAAATATAATTTTGAAAAATTTTTTAAAAACACTTAATGTCTTTTATGAATAACAGTTGGCCAAATTAGCACTTTGAATTGATTTTTTTGTATGTGTGTTTATGTCCTACTTTTATTTTGGCCCTGAATTGATAAAGTTTGTCACTGTTCTTCCAGAGAGAGTGCACCAGGCCAGAAGGAGTGTGATGATGCTATAGAGAAGGTGACCTCTACCATCAAGGATTTGGACCAAGCAGCTCTGGCTGCCATTAGTAACAGTCTGCCAGCTAGGAATGACAATAACCAACAGGTATTGGAGATAGCATAGATCATACTTAATAGGTGACATGTATCGTATTCAATTAAGTCTTTTTTAACATGCTTTAAGTTTTTGTACTCTACTAGTGACCTCTGTCAGGATGTAAAGTCTTTATTGTTGTCAATTCTCTAGCTTTGTATATGATTGTGTGATATCTGCAAGACAGCGGTGTGTGTGTGTGTGTGTTTATAGCATATAATGTATATTGTGTTAACTTGAAATTATAGGGCTTCCAGCAGCAGATGATAAGTTGTGCTCAAGAAATAGCAGATAGAATAGACCCTGTGCGAACTGCAGGCAAGGGAGAGGCAGAGAAACTGGGCCACTTGGTGAGAAATGTCTCTTAAATAGAGAATTGTTTTGATTATTTGTTATATTACAGGTAAATTCTACATTATTGATCAATACCAAAAAGATGCAAATAACCAAGGTTTGAAGGATAGTCAGTTCAAAATCAACATTTCTGAATGATATTATTTTCAGCTATGATAATGACTGCATCTCAGTTAACAGATATTATGTACTTTTAATTAAATGTAAAAGAGCAAATTGATTTACGACAATTAATTTACTTGTTTTTGCTAGGTTACCAACATGGCCTCGTATTTGGATCCCCTGGCTGATGCTGCAGTGGGCACAGCTTCTAAGATCATGAACTCTAAGAGACAGATGGCAGTATTAGACCAGACAAAGACTGTGGCAGAATCTGCTCTACAGTTGATATATGTGGCAAAGGAAGGGGCTGGCAATCCAAAGGTAGTTCATCATGAGAGTTGTATACCAACCTGTAAAGGATAAGTGGATGTAAATAAAGACACACCTCAAAATAGAATCTCCCTTTTGTGTGGATGACTGTTCTAAATAACTGCAGTGGCACTTGTAAGAAAAATAGCAGTTTCTTTAGAATATATTCCTGCACTGAAAACCCTGTTCTAGTCTAGTGATTTCCACACAGTAATAACTAGTCCAATATGTACAATGAATATTGTTAATTCCTTATCTGTTCTTGTCTAATGATGTACACACAGTAGAAAATAACTCGGTGTGTAGAATGAATACAATTGATATTATTCCTTACTGTATCTGTTCTAGTCTAATGATGCCCACACAGCCATAGATGATGCAGCAGACAATATGAAGGAGGTGATGGCAGATCTACTGCAGACCATGGAGGAGGCCTCAGCCACGGCCGGAGTGGTCACAGCAATGGTGGACAACCTGGGCAAGGCCATCGCCAAGGTAACGTAGCAGGAGAGGACTTCATTTTGATAAAAGTTGAAATTTGAAATTGTTTTGGGGATGATGTCATGAAATTTTATTTTAGGATGTTGATGAACTTGACAAGGGTTTAGCCATTGCTGTTATAATTGAATTTGATGAAAGTGGCTAGAATTTCAATAACATAAATATCAATACTATTGCACATAAATTTACACATTTAATTATCTGTATGCTGCCTGTAAATTTCAGACTGATGACAGAATAGTGGTTCATGAGAACCTGTCTTTTGTGGACTACCAGACCAACATGGTGCGCCTTGCTAAGAAGATTGCCCAGATTGCTCAGGATATGGTAAGTCATGTGCCCAAGACTGATAACCTGGACTAATAGTTTCCTCACCTCTTTCCTTAATTTCACAAATCAAATATTTGAGATTTACCTTCTTTTACATTCTTTAGTTCATTTTGCCTGATCTGGTGTCATCTTATAAAACATAAGGCATCACAACATTTTACTATCTGCCCTTCAGGTTGGCAAATCTAGTAACAACCCTGAGGAGCTAGGTGGCCTAGGTAACCAGTTGACCAGAGAGTATGGAGAACTGGCCTCTGAGTCTCAGGGTGCCACATCATGTTCAAGTACTGCTGAGGTAATGAGCTCAGACTGGGGAATGTTTCAATGCTGAAAAGCATTTATTTAATGGCAGTTGATCAGTCCATTGTCTCAATCTATAGCATTAATGTGATTCAGCAATCTCTAGGGGCCGATTTCACAAAGTTACAAACGGAAATGCAAAATGATAAATTGAGCCAAACTTGCTATAACAACAACAAACAATCACTCTTCATATTGCTCGACATGTTACATGACTCTGTTAATCCTCTGTGATCCAGATTGGTCACCAGATCAAGAGGACAGTCCAGGACCTGGGCAGGCTGTGTATAGAACTGGTCCAGGATGCAGGGCATCTACAGAGCAGCCCTGGAGATAGCTTTGCCAAGAGAGACCTGGTAGAACATGCCAGGGCTGTCTCTGAGAAGGTGAGATCATTGCAGAATCAAAATCAGATGAGGGAAAGCCATTCCATTTCAATACATTTTTGGAACAAAACACTGAGTAATATTCAGTGGAGCTCATCTTTTCTGTGCCGATTTGAAGAATGAAATATACGATGGCTGAGTAGATTAGCATGTCACATATGTGTTCCTTCAAACAGCCGTATTATTTTCTGTTGAGTCCTATAAAATTTTTTTCCTTTCAGTATTGACTAAAAAACACTTGATGACACAAAAGTTTCTATCTATTTTTTTTGAAAATAGAATTTGCTTTAATACATCTGTATACATGCTATAATTTCAGGTGTCCCATGTACTAGCAGCTCTCCAGGCTGGAGCTAGGGGCACACAGGCCTGTATCAATGCTGCTCATACAGTGAGTGGGATCATTGGAGACCTGGACACTACCATCATGTTTGCCACAGCAGGGACGCTCAACCCTGATGCAGACACGGAACAGTTTGCTGACCACAGGTGGGATTGCTGGATGATATGAGACAATTGAGATAATAAGTTTAAAGTGAAATTAATATCAAATGTAAACCATTTGACTTTATTCATTATTGGCTGTTAGGCATTTTCAGTCAGTTACTGATTAGTTTTAAGATAGGACTTTAAAAAAATAATGTTTTCAACATCTTGAGTGGTATCCAATATGTATTTTAAATATGCATATGTATGCAGTATTTTGAATGCATCATCAACATGGAGTTGACCTTAGGCAATAAGGATAGTATATTGGGCTTTAAGGGAAAGGTACTGACAGGGCATTCAAAATTCATTTTCATGTAGTATTTCATACCAATAATGAGCCACCTGCACTTTTAATGCAGAAAAGTTGGTGGTTCGTGGTAATTGATAGGGTACATTGTCATATGGTATATTTCAATTTATGTTACAACTCTCTCAACAGAGAGGCTATACTGAAGACAGCCAAGGCTCTAGTAGAAGACACCAAGACTCTAGTAGCTGGTGCTGCTGCCAACCAAGAACAGCTGGCAGGGGCTGCCCAGAGCGCAGTCAGGACAATAACTCGTCTCACTGATGTGGTCAAGTTTGGAGCTGCATCCCTGGGCTCTGAGCAGCCTGAGGCACAGGTGCTCCTGATCAATGCAGTGAAAGATGTGGCCTCGGCTCTGGCTGATCTCATCAGTTGTACCAAGAATGCTGCGGGAAAACCTGTGCAAGACCCATCTATGTCGAACCTCAAGGACTCCGCTAAGGTATGTGAAATAGCAGTTGCTAGGAGTAGTATTCTGATTTCTCTGTAAGCATTGTGTAACTTAATTATGTCAGTCATTCATTAATGACAGCATACAAAAATGCCTGTACAGACACACACCCATGCACACGCAGACACACACACACACACACACACACACACACACACTCACACACACACAAATGGATGGTATTAAAAGTGTTTTATGCTAAAAATCCCTTTTAAATGCATGATGCCAAACTATATAGCTACCATGCCTTTTTTCTCATCTCAAGACTGTTTTACTTTATTTCCTTTACAAAACTTATTTGTTCTTTGTAATTAACCCTCTTGTCAATTCCTAGTTAATTTTATAGTTATTTAAAATGTTTGTTTGCCCACCCTAAAGTTCTTTACCTCACACCTTATTGTTAACCTTTAACCTTTAAGTTGACCCCTGACCTTTCCATATTTAGACTATGGTGACCAATGTGACATCCCTCCTGAAGACAGTGAAGACGGTCGAAGATGAGGCGGCCAGAGGAACCAGAGCACTGGAGTCCACTATAGAGGGCATCGCACAGGAGATTAGGGTGAGGGGCACTGTCCTCTGAGTAGATTAGCCACATTGCTTGACATCTTTCTCTCTGCTTGCATTGAATATACATGTTTCTTTGCATCTTTTTATCAAGAAAAAATTATTTACTGTTGTTTTAGTGATAATAATCGTTTACTTTGGAACAAAATTTTAGTGAAATGGCTACATTTCACTCTTGTCACAATAACATCATCAGGCTGAATGCCCACAGGTTGTTGGGTGTTGGTAGACCTGTGAACAAATCTCACTTGAACAACACAAGAGTGAAATATGGCTGTTTCACTAAAATTTTGTTCCAAAGTAAAGTGATCATTATCACTAAAATACCAGTAAATACAATCCCTTGGAACCATGAACAGTCTTATTGTTAACAAGAAATGATTTGAAATTAATAAAATGTGTATGTTGGCAATTACACAATTATAGAATATCAGTCTGTGCTTTGTGGAGTTAGATACAAATCGCAGACATAGCCTTATTCTTTGCGTTTTTTTTTTTTTGTTTTGTATTGTCCTCTCAACCACTGAGGTTGAAACTTTGTGTAAACACAAAAATGCTCTCCTTCAGGCATATGAGAGCAGTGACAAGTCTGACCTGAAGGCCACCCCAGAAGACCTGATCCGGCACACCAAGGCAATCTCCAATGCTACAGCCAAGGCAGTGGCTGCAGGAAACTCTGGCAGACAGGAGGACATCATTGTGGCTGCAAACATGGGACGCAAGGCAGTCTTTGATATACTGGTGGTCTGCAAGGTATTTCACTGATACATTTGATGTAATCTTCTGCCAAAACTTAATTATTAGTCAGGAATAATGAAACAGAAATACGTGCATAAGCAGAAGTCAGTATTTCAAAGTCAGTTGTAGATATATTAATTTTGAAATCATCCATACTTTATCACAGAAACATGTAGATTTTGTTCTGAAGAACTTTCCTCTGTACCCAGATTTCTTTCTCAGGAAAGTCTAATCTCCAAAATTGATTTTTATATTTTTTCAAATGGTCAAAGTCTGTATTTGCAAAATAAACACTATTTTGACAAATCCATATGTAAATAAATAGTGACACAAAGGCAACATGTAATAGTCGCTGTGTTTATAAACCAGGCTGCTGCTCAGAGTGCAGAGACGGAGGAGATCAAGCATAGGACGCTGAGATCTGGACGTGACTGTGCTCACAACTTCAGAGAGCTGCTTGACTTGGTGCACCTGGTAAGACAACAGAATTGTAGATATAATATTTAGTTGTAAACTGATGCCTTTGCACACTACATTTATGCACTGATTAAATGTATTTTATTTTGTTAGGTTTGCAAGCTGTTTAGAGATGATGTTGGAAGTCAAATAACAGATGTTCATTTTATGATTTTTAAAGTGAACAGTAGCTCTTGTGCAAAGAAAGCTGTTTTAAATTTTATATTTCTTTATTTACAAAATGAACAGAAATTACCATGGCATTACACATGGAAGACAACATGGTGTTTGCAGAGTGAAAAATAATGGGAATAATCAAACACTCATGTTCAGCCAGTATATTAAAAGCCATAATTTTATTTATCAAATTGAAAGAATTTGCTTTGATTTTCAGGCCATCCAGAAGCCCACCTATGAAAACAAGCAGAGTCTTGGACAGGCATCCAAGAAGGTGGCCAACGCTGTCACAGAAATTGTACAGTCAGCCGAGGCTATCAAAGGTAAATTATCTGTTTATTGATGTTTGAATATACACCTACAAATCAAGGTTTTTTTTTCTTCTGCCAACCTGATATAGTTTCTGATGCTCTTATGAATGTACATGTATGAGCTTGTGGATTAAATAATTCTTAGCAAGCAAGAGTGCTCACAGTAAAACTTGGCCATAGTCAAATCTTCTAATAATGATCATTATTTGCTTAAACAGCATAGTTGAAAGGAGAAAAAAAATCGATGAACAACTTTTTAAATGCTTGTGAAACACAACTTAGTTTGCTTAAAATTTTAATTCACGGGCTTCATTGTATTCATGGTATGTTGTATTGTTCCAGGCACAGAGTGGGTAGATCCAGATGACCCCACAGTGATAGCTGAGAATGAACTGCTCACTGCTGCCAACTCCATTGAAGCTGCTGCAAAGAAACTGGCAGCTCTGAAGCCAAGGCAACCAGCCAAGGTAGGAGTCGGTGTGATACAGCTTAATATATTTCTTAACTTCTACAATGATCAACTCTGTGAGAATTAGACCATTACTGATGTATTATTTTAATTTGTTGTCCACTATATTTATTTCACACTGCATGCTGGCTATAATAACTCACTAAAATCACAGTATAGTGCATGCTTCAATAGTTTTTTTAAAAGCTCCTAATGTCAACTTGATTATAACTTATACTGAAAGGTGTGAAAAGTAGGAGATAATTTTTTAAATTCATATCCTCTTAATGAACTTCATTAAAACAGTAAAAAAAAAAAACTATAGGAATTTATCAGAAATTCAGCGTATACAACAGACTTGAGTAACAAATTTAGTCACAAAGTGACTCCCATGTGTTTTATATAATCAGCCGTCCTCTTATCCCATAACAATGACCGTGTCCACGCGACACGATGAGTACGAGGATGATGAGGTAAGACCATTAGCCTGCACCTGTTTTTACAGCTAGTCACGTACCCACGTAGGAGTTCTATTCGTAGTGGAATTGAGTGCTAACTCTTGTTTTATTAGCCAGTACATACTGACGAATGCACTGCTGACTGACTACTAGTTGTTTACTGAAGAGAGAGAGAGAGAGGGGTGCAGTTTTCAACGAGATATGTTTGTAATATTTGGTGGTGAATCTGATAGTCACCAAATAGACAACATATCATGTGGAAAACTGTGATACAACAGTGGAATAGAGTTGTCCGAATTTTTTTGATTGATTGATTGATAAATTAATTGACTGATTGACTTACTGATAGAAAATTCTAACAAATTATATGATAAGTTGGTTGGTCTGAAATCTGCTGATAACAAGAAGTATACCACCCAGCATGTATGTAATTAAAGACAAGCAAAGATTTCAGATTAACTAACTTTGGAAAATGAAATAATTTTTTACTTCTTGAGGATTTTTGACATGTCTTATTTTCTCCTTGCACCGATTTCATCTTGATATGGAGTTAATATCAGTCTAATCTAGTGCTTTCCATTTCATCTTTTCATTACTTAGTGTGTTCTCTTTTGATTTCTTTTATTACTCAGAGGGCTGATGGCAGTCAGGTAAAATAGATTGATCTTTTACTGAATTAGCATAAGATGTAGTATTTGTTGTATCGCATAATATCATGTCTTGGGATTCTCTTGTGTAGTATGTTTTGATGTTTTCTATTTAGCAGTGTTGTTCCAGTGTATGATTTATAATATAGCTTAAATTAGCAGTAATGAATGTCTAGTTATTTCATGTTTAAAATTTTGCCAGTCAAAGGACATTTTGCCTTTGCAGTCTGACTGGTGTATTATGTGACAAGGATTTTGTCATTTACCATCTTTGCTTCCCCCAGTGACAGTTGATGTTGTAGCTTGAATACTGCCTTAGATATTGAGATATCCCTTTCCTAATGCACATATACACTTCAGTCTCAAGATTTAACCTAAAAAAAAAAAAAATGCTTATGCTTTAAAGGGACCAATTGTGTTTTCCCCTTTGTCTTGTATATCTTCCAATTTTCTTTTTTTTTTTTGTCTCGAAGGTATTTTGCTTGCATTTAAGATCATGGAATTACTGTCCCTGCTAAAAATTGAATAATTTACATGCTAAGCAAAATTGTCATGAATTAAACTAAGCCCCCCCCCCCCTCC